CGACTCAAACTTAAACGGACTGCAAGATCACGGAAGCAAACACGCCCAGCATGCTCGTTCTAGTCCTTCATGTCGGCGATTGCTGTCCAGCTGACTCTTTACTTCTACAGGCCAGCTGTGTGAAGATGCGAGACCCCCATGTCCATGTCTGGTCTACTCGGATCAAACACAAATGGACCCAGCAAAGCTTTCCTGGCCTCTGCGCTCCACATAACTGGCTGAGGCCCCTATCGTCCGTCTCCGTCCCCATCCCTGTACATCTCCCTCAATGAAAGTTTGGTTGAAGTTGCCTGAGGAATAGGAAGGCGAACGCTCTGCAGCATCCTGGACCGAGGAGGCTAGGAAGTACTGAATTGATACACGGCCGGCCATGCCGTAAGCTCCTTGATGCATTTGACTCGCCGCCTTCAGTCATCCAGCTCATCAAACGCATCTCAGCACTGCCGCACTGTGCTATTCAAGTGCGCCACTGCCTTGATAAAACCCCACTGGCAGGTGCTGAGTTGTCAGGAGCAGAAAGACAACTGCTAACCTGAAGTGCGACGAAACGATCGGTGCTCAGCCTGCTCTGGAGCCACTGCCGCATGCGAGCATGAGATCGGGACGGGAAGACTAGGACAGCTGCGACTGGCACCTCGACTCCAGAAATCCAGACAAGCCGGAAGGGCTGATGGGGAAGCAGCTGGGTCCAGCACAAGCTTCTCCCGCAAAGTTCCTGCAATAGGTTCCTCTCGCAGCCAATGTTTATTGGAGTGGCCTTCGCACGAGCCGCAACAGGGCCTCCGTGTTTGGAATGATCTGGAGCAACTCATGTGCCTGGGCCTGCAGCTCTCTCAAAACTGCACGACCAGAAGGACTCTCTGTGTTTCGCGGGATGAAAGGCCTGAGGGCCCATGGAATGGCGGGATACTGGCGCAGTCTTGCTCGCATTGCCTGCTACAGTAGCAAGCTTGCAACGGCTTGTGGCCACAGAGCTAGACCGCGCGTCAGCATGATTTTCTCACCCGGCCGGCTCCGGTCCATATGCAGAATTCTCTGCCAACTATGTGTTTCCATCACAGCGGCAGGGTGCCTTTCGGTCCAAGAGCTGCAAGTTGAAGGGAAGATTGCCTGGCGTTGGCGACGAGAGACCGGACTCTGCCAAGCAAAGACCCCAACGTCATCTGCCAGGCACACAGGAAGGACAGCTCAGGAGTCTCTGCATCCATCGCCTGCAGCTGTCACATGCTCCAAGCACACAGGAAATAGAAGGTGTTGGTTATGAGGGGCATGTAGAATTGGTGATGGGGTGTTGTTCGGAACGATGGAGAAGTGAGAAGGTGTAGGAGATACTGGAGCCCGGAACCTTTCACGAATTTGCCAAGGAACATCATCTAGATGATTGTAATGCATAACATACGACGACTCAGGGGCCTCCAGGCTTCCAAACCCAAACCAAAATTCCCTTTCCCAATCTCAAAACCACATCCCCCTGGGCAGTGCACTTTCAGCACTTCGAACTCTGTGCCCTTCATAGGTGCTTGAGCCACCATGACATCCGTCACAAGCTCGCTCTGCAATTCACAACGATATGCACTTCGGCACATCCTGGCTCATGCGCAGGGGTCATGCTAATCTTCTCAAGTACTCAATCACACTCCTCCTCGCACCTTCGCTGCGACAGCAGAGGCAGGAGCGAACTTGCATGGGCCCCGAATACAAAAAGCATGAGCAACGCAAAAGACTCGTGATCTGAAGATCTTGTGCTGGACTATTCCTTCGGCACAACTCCAAATCAGAGAACAAAAGTTCAGGGCTTCCACTCTCCCAGTCCCAACAACTCACACGCCGCCTCCAACTTGCGAGTACTCAGGCTCTTCGTAAGAATGTCACCTTTTATCAAGTTGGTACCAGTGTGTTGCACCTTCACATCATCGCGTGAAATGACATCCCGAATCCAGCTAGTACGAACAGCGAAATGACGTGTGCGCATCACCAGTTCCGAAAATGTCTCGCGTGTGCTTAGGGTAATCGCTCCACTGTTGTCCCCATGCAACGTGGATGGTATCTTGCTGTCTAACATCTGTTCCAAAAGAAGGCTCACGTGCCAGCCTTTCTGCAGGCCGGTTGCCATGCCTTCCAACTCAGCTTCTGTCGCACTCCATGCAGTCAAAGCTTGACGACTCGAGACATATGCGATGATATGAGCATCGGGTCCTTCGCCCAATGAAATCACTGCTCCCGTTCGGGATCTGCTGCCGCCATTTGCATAACTTGCATCCGAGTGAATGTGCAAGCCTGGAACTTGTTCACTGAAAGGCTTATACTGCATACATCGGTTCACAGTGTACCTCAAAAACCTCCACAGTCCCTTGGCCAAGCGAAGTGTCTCTGAGGGATTGTTGACTACCATGCATGCCGCCATACCCACAACGGACAAAATGTCCGGCCTAGTTCTCAACCCTATCCACATCAATGATCCCAGCTCACTCTGCCCTTTCTTCAGGTTCTCATGGTACTTGTCATCTTTCTCCTCAGGAGCCAACGTCCCTTCCTGAGGTTCTGGCAAGCTTTTCGTTCCATTCATGTGAGCATAACCTCGCGTGGCCAATGCTTGCATGACCCACTTTCTTTGCGACACCTGAATTGTGCCATCATTTAGTCTCTGTAACTGGCATCCCAAGTAGGTTAGCACTGATTTCACAGGAACTTCGATGTCACCCCAAGTTACGCTTTCAGCGGGCACATCTCTATGCTGCATCATGCCCTGGATCTTGATCTTCCACAGCGACGATACACCGCGGATCACTCTTCGAAGCTTCGAAGTGTCTCTGTATCACCAATAACAAACCCGTCATCTACATAGGTAGTCATGATTCCCAGCAGATTTCCAGACATGTCGACAATACGCCAGAGACCCTTGCATGCTGTCAAAGGTTGGAAACGGATATCACCATGTTTATCGCCACTCCCAGCATGAAGCACCAAGTCCGCAATTGCACTATCCCGGTGCGCCTCCCATGCCATGGGGGCCTGACGCAGACCGTATAGTGCACGCTGCAGAATCCACAGCGTGTTTTCGGATACGAGTCCCAGTGATACCAAGATGGGAGGAGGACGAACAACGATGGCCTTGTTGTCGCGAAGCATCGCATTTAAAAATGCGCAAGAAATATCACAGATCAGCCCATTCCAGTCACTGTGATTTGCCAGCATGGAAAACATCAATCGCAGTCCCTCACATTGCACATTGCACGATGCATAATCTTCTTTTGTGTGGCCTGAGGTGTTCTCGAAATTTCCGCATCCAACAATGCGTACACGAGCTTTCCAAGAATCTATGGCACCCGAAGATGTGTTGGCGTCTTGATTCTTATCGTCGGCCATGACAACAGGTTTTTTCACATTCACCAGCTTGGCAGGAAGAATCTCCGGTAGTGGATCATGTGCTTGTAGACCCAAATCGGCCTTGAGGGTACTCCAAGAAGAGTTCTCCCATACATTCAGCTTCGCCATGTTGTCTAGCTCCTCCTGAGCGGCTGCGATCCACTTCCCAATCTCTTCCTGTGTGCCCGTCTTGAACACGTCATTTGTCATGGTTTGTCCTGATGCTTGGTCCAGGCCGTTCAAGATTGCATCCATCTCTTCCTTGAGTGCCCTTTCCTCCTCCTGAAAAGTGGCAATGTGGTACTTTCCCTCCTGTGGCCTCAGAGCTTTGCTACACATAGGAAACTCGAATGCAGTGTCCTTGGTAGTACATGTAGCCTTTGAAGCCGCTGCCACCCGGTAGAAGTCAAAGTCCTCCTGCGCGGGCCCGTGTTCTCGCTCCTCCAGAGTGATGATACCCAGGTCATGACCGATATCATGCACAATCTCTGCATCTTTTGCCTCGCCAGTGTTTGAGATCCACACCAGATCACCCAGAGGCGTCACATGTGTTCTCCACCGTTTACAAGGAATCGGAAGCTTTGTAGGTAGACGTGCTCGAACCACAGACTCGCGCCCATTTCTCATCGCCAAACATAATGCTCCACGGCTTGTCTTCTCATCTCTACACAAGAACGTTGCCTGCTCCACCTTCGGCGCAAATGGATCATCCGTGCGCCTGTCAATCACAACTTTAACTCCTGGGGAAGGCTGTCCCTTTGGAATTCGTCGATTCAAGACTTCGTCGCGTTGGGCAATCGATGCTTCTACCATCGCATACGGCCAGAAACTGGTGGGACACCCCGAGTCCAACAGATACTTCAGGGCTCTCTGCTTTAGATCTCGGATTGCACGCTCTGCTTTACCATTCTGCTCTGGATGATATGGAACGGTAACCGTCTTGAAGATGCTGATCTGCGCAAGTGCTCGTGCAAACTCCTCTGAAACTAGTTCCCGCCCGTTGTCCGAATGTAGACGCACTGTTGATGGCAGTTCTCCCGCCATGGACGCAATTTGTGCAATGACATCCTTGGTAGCTTCCAGAACCTCTTCCTTCAGCCTCCTCCTGAGAGGTCTTGTGAAGTACAATGTTCCCTTATCCACCGTTGTCAGTGCACATACCAACATGTACTTGAAGCCGCTGAGTCCTCCTTGGTACGGTCCAGCAATGTCTATACTCAAACATCCATGCGCAAGGTCATCTTTGCCAAGTCGTCGATGAGGTCTCAAAGTTCCCCGGGCCTCGTAATCTTGCAACTTGTGACCTGGAGGTTTCTTGTGCGCATACTCATACAGGTCTTCTTTGTGTTCAGACGTGTCCTCCTCAGGAAACTCAGAAGGCTCATACTGACAATCATCATCCTCAGCACCCTGCCATGTCTCGCTGCTTTCAGTCTTGTCTTTCGAAGAAGAATCCGGCATGTTCTCTAACCAGGAATCATCATCAGTATTGATGATTTCACAGATCATGGCGTGTCCATCGTCACAGGACTCTTCATGCTCTAGACCCTGAAAACTTCCAGAAAAATCACCCCCTCAAATGTTCCCTGACCATCACCTGAGTTTCCCTGAAAACCCTGATCGACAGACACGGACGGAGGGGAAAGAGAGGATTCGCTCTGCTCTGGAACTGAAGTTGCCTTTTGGCTCTGATGCTGCGGTGCCTCCTGTGAGTGCTGCTGCTTTGCTGATGTCACAGGAAAACCCATCTCCATGAGCATAGTCTGTTCCTCCTCTGACGCATTTGACATACCATGGGGTGTGTATGCAGTCAGAACAGTGCGAACACCTTCCCAGCTGCATGTACCATGCCACACAAAAGGCGAGAAAGTGAATGGTTTGCGACAAATGTCATGGGCTTCTCCGGCAACTTCCAGGCCTGGACGAACTTCTCGAACATCATTCCCATCCTTGCTCTGCACCCAAAGCTCTCCTCCTTTGCACTGCAGACTGCTGTTCAAGCAAACGATGGTGTTCTTGCTCCCTTTCTGATTCTGACTGTCTCGATGCGGCTTGAAGGTTACATTTCGTGCGAGCACGATCGTTGTGAACTGTACTCCAGGCGCTATCTTGTTCATCAACTTACACAATACCTTCGTGAGCATCGGCCTTTGCATACACATTCTGGAGAGACCCCTCTTCTGTCCGTGAGTCCACAGTCCAAGGGTCCACATAGGAATAACCCCTCCAGATGCGTCCTCACTATCAGCGTTGCTCCTCCTGTGTCGCTGCAGGGGCAAGTTGATCTTCTCAATGAGTCTGAGCACCGTACTGCATGTGATGTGACTGTCACCCTTGGCTAACAGTTCCGCTGCTTGCTGTTCTCCTGCCTGGGTCACCTCATCAATCACCATAGCCTTGGATTCTTCAGAGCACTCCGCCTCAATGCGAATCTGATCCATCGGGTTCGCGATCTGGATTTTCATGGCTTCTGACTGCTGGCCCTCACTCTGAGAATTCTCTTCTACTGTGGTTGCCCTGCATGTAGTTCTCACTGACTTCCACTTCTGGGTAATCAAGGGACGAAGCTGCTTATAGGTTTCCCATTCCAGGTATGGCAGTCCTGCAATCACTTCCAGTTCATACCATGTGGATCCAAGCTCCTTTGGAAATCGTAGCCATGCCCCATGCTCTTCCCAGAGGAAAGCACAGCCGATGCGGATCAACTTGCATATTCCACAAATTGTGGAACTGCTCTCAGGGCCTCCGCGGATGAGAATTTCCCCATCTCTGTTTCTCCATGCTTCAACCTCTTGTCCATCTGCAAGCTGCAACGGAGTGTATGCTGCACGGGGAGGAATTTTGAATTGTCCTGATCTGACAACTTCGTTTGCACCACTGTCTAACAAAACACCTTCGGTCTTTGCAGCGGCTACTACTCCCTGACGTGCTTGTGATGGTTCGCTGTCCCTATGTTGCGGTCTTGAACGCCTCCGTGGTGGTCCTACAATGGAAGGAAACACAGGCACTGACTGAGGATACCCCATCTGACTTCCGGACGCTGCTGAGGACACCTGAGTCTGTATGGCAGTCGGGGCTGCTGATGACTCCTGAGTCTGTGTGGCGGTCGATGATGGTTGTTGTGGAGTTTCCTGACTCCAAGGCCTGACAAGTGGCCTTGATGCCGAGGTCAGTGCCACCGCAAACACTTCATTCTCAGTCTCGAGATCAATAGCCCACCCCATGTATGCCGCACGCGCGGCTCCATCCGCGCATCTCACAAACACTCTTTCTAGCCGTATCAGCCTCTGTGTTGCAGAGATCTCGATGTCCTCTGTAGGAAGTTCATTCTCAAATTCCGAGGCTGCCAGCACGATACACTCTGCAATGCTATTGGGTGTTGTGATCCGTACGAAACTGCGACTGGCATGCGCACGCACCCAATTTGGAGACAGTTGCTGTCGCCACTGCAGATACTCCTCTGGATTCAACCGCAGAAGCCAAAGATCATCCAATGGTGCATGATGCAAGCCTCCCGGCTCTGGCTCTTCAAGTGGTTCGTAACATTGTGCCATGAAAGCAAATGCCTTCACTGCTGATGCTTTTGCTTTGCCTTTTGGTTTGCCGTTGGGTTTACTGGCTGCGGCTGCCGCATTCCCACTGCTGGAATTTTCTGTTCCTACTAATGGTTCTCTGGGGGGTGCTGCTGCTGCCGCTGCTGCCGATGCTTCCATCTCCTTTCGGAACTTCTCGTCATGACTGAAAGTGCAATGCTTGCGATAGCATCCAGCAGGGGTGAAGTAGAATCGACAAGGTTTGTTGCTGCGCTTTGTGGTATCATCAGGCTTCGTGTCCTTGCTCTTTCCTTTGCCATCCTTGTCCTTTCCTTTTCCTTTTCCATTCTTGTCCTTTCCTTTTCCTTTGCCATCCTTGTCCTTTCCTTTTCCTTTACCCTTTGCTGCAATGCTTGCATCGGTTTGTCCAGCTTGACGATTGTACTTGATTGTCTCATCTGCACTTAGGATTTGTAGCTGCTGTTCAATCAGACGAATCATAGACTCCACTCCCTGAGCTGAAGGACGCAAGACATCCGGCTGAACCCTGAGTAAACCCATCAACGTCCTGAAGGCCTCAGACTTTCGCTCCAGGGTCTTGATGAGAGAGCTCAGCGCCTGAATTTCTTCAAACGGTGCCACAGCTGGAAGTTGTAGATCTCGTGCTCGGGTGCGTGCCAGTTTCCATCGCCTAAGTGTCTCCAAACCCTCTTTGGCGGTATGAGCTGGATCCAGATGCCTGACAAAAGCTTGAATACTCTTCATCTCCTGCTGTCCGCCCGGCATCTGTTCCTGCAAGACGCATTCTATCAGATGGATGCTGCGCAGCTGCTGTTGGCCAGTCTTCTCAAGGACAGGCTGTTTCAGTTCTGTCGGCAGGCATCGAATCAAAGTAAGCGTCAAGCGATTTTCATACTCCTGGCAATCTGAACTGATTTTCTCAAGCTCTTGGTCATCAAAAAAACCCTCAAGGCGTCGTCGATGTCGCTTTTCTGCAAGTGTATACTGCTCATGGACAAAAGTGCCAAACCTGGGGCTAACTGTGGATGCCACCGTTTCCAGCTGTTTCCACCATGTCTGCAACCGCATGTTGCACTCCCAGGCCTCACCACCTCCTACTGTAAACGCAGGTACATCAAGAAGCAACTTCCAACGCCCATGAGGAACAGATTCATCTGCTACAGGTGGCGCGCGCATGAACTCTGGTGGAAGCCCTGGAGGTGCCGACCAACTCCAATTCCATGGATTTTCCGGATTTGCCTCCGTTTGTTCATTCCACTCTGTCCAAGCATTCTCATTTCCACCGCACCACCAGTCTTCTTCTGCCTGAGCAGGATCGGATTGACCCTGTTGATCTGGTGACATCTCATGTATCACCGGTCCACTTTCCTTACTTCCACACTCATGGATCTCCTCCCGGATTTGCTCCAGGCATGACTCGATCTGGCGGGTCCGCTGCTCACACGTTTGAGAGTCGACAACGGCCTTTTCAGCCACCTCTCCCACTCTCTCATGAAGCAAACGTAACTCGCTCTCCACATGACTGCTTAAAGCTTCTGTCCTCTGTAACGTTTCCACCATATGCGTCTGGATTCTCGAAACCAAATCAGTCTCTTGTCCAGATTCTTCAGCATCTTTAACTGCCCTTTCAAGCGATGTTTGCAGATGTGAAGATACAAGCTGTGCTCTCTGCATCTGGTCCTCAAGTGAATTCACACGTCTGTCCAGATGTTCAGCCAACTGTTCGAATTTGCCATGCAGCTGCTCAAACTTGGCTGCCGCAATCGCCTCAGCTTGTAATGTTGTTGTGCCCTCCAGCTGCTGTACCCGGGAACTGAGAGAGTCACTTATACTACTCTGCGCCTCCAACCTCTGCTGCACCATACGTATCTCTCCAACAGTTTGCTCTCGGAGTTGCTCCAAGCAAAGTTGCTGTTCTTGGATCATCCCTGCCATCTGATCAACACGACTCTCAAGGACTTTACATCCCTCATGTAGCCGCTGTGTGCCGCCAGATACATCTTGCAACATGGACGCAAGTATGCTCGTACGATGTTGGATCCGAGCTGAAAGCTCCACCATCGCTGCCTTCACATCACTCAGCACATCCTGATCCAGTTGAATGGAGTCTTCGAGTTCACGTAGACTTTCCAATGGTAATGTGACTTGCGTGAGCGATCGAAAGGTCATGGTGTTGCTGTCAACTATCATCTGAGCTGCTTGTGACGCTGATGCTGCCGCAGGTGTCGTTGGTGCCTGTTGTTGTAGCTGCAGCTGCTGTTGTGCTGGTTGTAGCGGAGAGTTTGGGGGGTCGTTTGGGCTCATAACCTGTTGGTTATGAGGGGCATGTAGAATTGGTGATGGGGTGTTGTTCGGAACGATGGAGAAGTGAGAAGGTGTAGGAGATACTGGAGCCCGGAACCTTTCACGAATTTGCCAAGGAACATCATCTAGATGATTGTAATGCATAACATACGACGACTCAGGGGCCTCCAGGCTTCCAAACCCAAACCAAAATTCCCTTTCCCAATCTCAAAACCACATCCCCCTGGGCAGTGCACTTTCAGCACTTCGAACTCTGTGCCCTTCATAGGTGCTTGAGCCACCATGACATCCGTCACAAGCTCGCTCTGCAATTCACAACGATATGCACTTCGGCACATCCTGGCTCATGCGCAGGGGTCATGCTAATCTTCTCAAGTACTCAATCACAGAAGGGAAAGAGGTAACACGGTTTTCCCTGGTTTTTCCCGGCAGGACATGCTCAGTGCTGAGCTTGGCAAAGCCCGCATGACTGCTGGATGCCACAGCCTGAAGCAAGCAAGCCAGGTAAGCTAGTCCTGCCTGCGCCTGACAGAAACCTCGCTGGCCTGCATCGATCTCAGTTGCAAGGCACCTGAAAGCACCAGGGGGCTCACGAGCCACATCGAATGAAAATTGTCTGCTGCTTGTTCACGTGCCAGGGCTCGTACAGCAAGAGCCACAGATGCGACATCACGGAGGGGGACATGCATCTGCCTCGTGATAAGACTGACGCACCGGACTTTGTTTGCACCAATCGAAGCAAGACATACAGGGAACGTGCCTTGGAATCCAGTCTGAATGCGCTACATTATGCATACTACTGTTGATCACGAGGACCGGCAGTTCCGTTTCGGTTCAGCGCATGAAGACAGTGTTATTTCACCCCCCCTCCCTTTTTCGTCTTGACTGCACCTTAAGAAAATTGATGCGGATAGCAGCGCTTTCCGAGCTCCAGGCTACTTGCTCTGCACCAGGAGACGGCAGGAAGCTTCGGCTGTTGGCAAAGGCCTTTAATGAACACTTTACCTACAACATGTCTAAAACTCCAGACTCTACAACTCTGTACGCGCTTGGATCCTACCGGATGTAGCTCCTTGGCCGTGCAGAGGTAACGCCCATCTCTGAAGATACGTCCTGGGTCTCAAGAAGACGGTACGGTAAGCCTTGAGCCAGGCAGTGGTTGGATTCAGTTCAGCTTATCGCATCACTGGGTTGGAGTCCAGACGCATGTTTTCAGCGAGGCTTCCGGCAGCACCACTCAGACGGACGAAGAGCAATCCAAACGTTCCGTCTGCATGCTGCCACTGAGCTGAGACACAGCACAGCTGCGAGTGCATGATCCAAAGCTCTTTTCCCCTGTGACCGCTCGATCTTGGGTACCTCGCACGTGCCATCGAACCACTCTGTGCCTTTGGACCTCACCCCGCACTAGGGCTGGGACATTGCCGAAGGGGTGTTAGTTACACTCGTTCGTGGGATCCTCCTCAGAGCTGCTGACAGCCTGCGAAGTGCCACGAACTCGAGGCCTCTGTTCCAAAAGCAGCGAAGGGATGCGGACTTGGGCCTCAGGGTCGGAGCCCGTGCCCCAGCAGATGAAGGACGTGGTGTAGCCTTGCCGACGCAGCTCCTGTGAGTGCAAGCCAAGAGCAGAGTCCGAGTCTCCGAGAGGAGTTTGAGAGGAGTCTTCAGCTCTCGCTTCGAAGCGCTCCCGCTTCGCCAGCTCGGGAAGTTTCTCCGGCAGGTCCAGACGACGCTCCGGGCAGTACCACCAGATCTCAGCAAACTAAAGCCGCATCGAGAGGATCCCCGACTCCAGAGGATCAACTGGGGCTCCCGCTGCCAGATGACTGCCGACCATGAACAAGCCTGCCGACACCTGCAATCAGTTGCTGCTGCGCAAATACGACTCCTTGGGCTGGGATGATGGAACAAAGCAGTCATGAACGCCTCGAACCAATACTCCAACGTCTTTAGGAGGAGGCACCTCCAACGGAACTCCAAGCCAGAACAAGGACTGACCTCCATGGAACCGACAGCAGCGCTGAGACCACCGCGACCCATGTGCTGTGTCCAGGAGCAGCTTCTCCTTGTCAGCAATAGCCTGCGCAGGAAAAAAAAAAGCATAAAAAACGAAGGAATCACGAATCCGCCGCTTTCAGTCGTTCCTGGGAGATTCGGACTGCCAAGGCCAGGTGGTCGCCCCCTGGCACTCGCCATTGTTACTCGTAGACACGTCTTAGACCAGGTCAGGGACCAGGCCTGGCTTCTGTAGGACGTACTCGAAATCAATTTTGCTGGGGACCACCCAGACATCCGCACCTCGAATCTACATCCGTGTCCGTGCCAAGGCCGGGTTCTCATAGGCTGCCCGGCAGGAGTCTGTGCCCAGAGAGTCCACTGTCTTTGGCGACAGGAAGCCGCAAACCTCTCGGGGTGAAGCAGAGGAACATGATGCTGAACAACGCAGTGCTCCGCTTGAGTTTCGCCGGCCTGAAACGCGACACCGGAGCACAGCGACAAGCCGATCAAGGCCGCTCGCAGGCGCCACTCTCCCGGCCTCGCATCTTTGACGACGGCACGCAGACACAGTAGACTCAGTCGACACAAGATGTCGCCCCTGGCGCGGGCCTGCAACTATGCTACTCTCGTCAAACCAAGTGACACCTTTCTGCTGAGGACTGCATTCAACTGTCTTCATCTACACTGCAAGAAGCCATGGATGTTGACATGCCGAGCTCTGTTTGCTTTTGAGGACAGCGGCTTAGCATCTAAACAACACAGGTCCCACGATCCAGGCTGTTTAGCAAAGAGCTGCAAGGGACGCAGACTTCCAGAGAGAGCTCGCAAGAAAAGGGTAATCGAGACATCCGCCATCACAGGTGGTGAGTGTCTTGAGTGTCGGGCTTTAAGATTGGCCCGCCTGTGGTGTCCTCGCAGAGAGGAACATCAGCGGTTGAATTCAAAGCGGGCATGGCATAGCACCAACGTGAGTCCTTCCGACGGGAACATGCCCTTTGGAGTGCGACTATTTCGCACAGCCCGTATCCGCCCACCATCATGATTGCACCACAGGTATGCCTCGAAAAGCTCAGATGTGCAGAGAGCCTACATCCTTGCGAACCTTGGGACCCCGCAAGAGAACGGTAAAGTTCTCTCCGAAGTGGCGGTTGGCCTTGTGAGTCGTGCATCGGCAAGCAGCGTTCGACAGCAAGCGACAGATGCGACAGCGTCTAGGACCCGGCTCTGAGGATGCTGCCGGTGGCACTGTGGGGATGCAGGTCACGAGGAAGAGGCCAACGGATGGGCAAAACTGCCAGCAGGCCGTTCGCAGATTCCCTACATTGAGGCCCGGAAGCCTGCTGCCCTGGCATGTGGCATGATGTGGCCCGGCATGCCCTGCCTGTCGCATGTTCTGCCAAGTGGGACCACAGCAACCACACACCGCAACCTTACTGCGTTGATGAAGGAACAAGTTCGTGCGACCTCAAGAGCACTTTGAGGCACAAGCACCATCGCCCAAATAGACATTGCCTCAGGTTCCCGAAAAGAAACAGCTTGCCCAATTCGGGAGTCTGTCGTGTTTGCAACTTCGGCACGGAGATGTGCTGGATACCAAGAAGCCAAAATGCAAATCGCCTGGCGCCGATGCAACAGAAAGCCGTGACGAAACCAAGACCGCGGGTCAGTTTCTCAAATTCGAACTTCGTCTGTGAACAGCCCTCACAGTATCCCGTGCTCTTCTATGCTATCTGCAAGCGAACTGCAAGGGGTGGACAACAATCGATCTACAAGAGCTTCATGACACAACGCCATGGCATCGGACTTCCAGCGGAGCAAGCTGCGGCGGGTGCACTGCTAAAAGGCCAAAGCCGAAGAACAGCTTGCCCTCGGCACTCTTGTGGTCATGTACCAGCTCGCTCACCTGTCAGGCGAAATGGCCGAAAACATCGCGTGGTGGCACCGTTGGTCGATAACGTCGCGTTATCGGTGCAGCACCGGACCGTCTGTGGGCAGTAGTTGTGGCCAGATGGAAAGGGCTCGCCCATGAAGTTGTTCTCCAACTGGGATGGGGTGCTGGAGACGATGCAGGCGGATCCAAAAAACCTCCTACCCGTGTGTCCCAGCTGCAAGGATCTTCGTGCGGGGCCCTGGCGATGAAGGTCTTGTTGTGAGCCCAGAGCTGCTGGAAGCCTCAGGCTCGTGACGAATCAGACCTGGGACAAGAACCGCGGTGCCCCCGGGCCTCCGCTATAGTAATTGTGGATGCCCAGCAATCCGGCGCACAGAAAGCCTCGAAAACCACAAAATGGAAAATGTTGGGACTTCCAGTCGTACCATCCATGTCAGAAGACAATGCGCCTAACAAGCCAGCGACGGAGCCGGCCAACAGCAAGGAGACGGCCCTCTTCTGGTTCAGCTCCTGTCATAAAGAAACAAAAGCCTTCCGCGGGGGATGCCCAAAAGCAGAACATTGGGGCCGCGGACCCAGCTGTATGTTGCGGCCTGCGCCTCGGGACCTGAGCTCAGCCGAGACAGCTTCAGCTTTGGGGCCTCGATCCGAGCCCTCCCGGCTCGCTCTCCTGCTGCCAAAGGAGCCATCTCTCAAGAGGCATTGCTGGAAGTCGTCGTGAACTTGCCCGGCCTGCCGGGATGGCTAGAAGTCTTCAGGCTGCTGGCCCAAAGCTGCTGACTCCCCGCTTGCATGTCCAGGACCACTATTTGACCACGTGGGTGCATCTTCCCACCTCGAACTCCCTTCTCCGCATGGTCGTCGTCATTCCTACGCATGTGTACCATGGAGACTAGACAGTGACTTGCATCGACAACAGGCCTCCTGGATGAGAATATGTTCTCGCCGCAGGCCTTGTTCATGCACAGGACCCAAGAGTCAAACAGTCAGCAACTGTGCTACATAGATCTATGGGAGATCGTGGCGCAGTTATTAATCTCTGCAACTACTGGAAACATTTTTGCAGCGCAGCCAACGAACGTCGGGGTCTGGCCAGGCTCAGGCGATCTGGAGGCCCAGCTTCTTGGCCTTCTCGGCCTGGATGGCCCGCTCCTTGCGTGCCGTGATGTGCTGGGACTTAATTCCCATTATGCCGCCGCCCCATCTTCGCTTCACCTCAGCGTTGTCATTGAACTGTGCCTTGAAGTTGTTGACCAGGGTGTTCAACTCCTTCTCGTCCTCTGGCTTGACGGAGGTGATGGCAATGCAGGCACAGGCCTTCTGGTGAATCAACTGGCCCAGGCGTGACTTGCCCTTGATGATGCAGTAAGGCACATCCTTCTTGCGGCACAGTGCCGGAAGCCAGCACACGAGCTCAAGGGGATCCACATCATGGGCAATCACGACGAGCTTTGCCATCTTCTCCTCGATCAGCGTTGTCACGTGATTGAGGCCGTACTTCAGAACCTGGGGCTTCTTAGTCTTCACCTCCTGGCCGTCCTTCTTCTGCTGCGCCATCTCCATCAGCCTCGCCTTCTTGGCCTCCTTCGTCTCGGGCGAGTACTTCTTGCAGAGCTTCAGAAGAGACGCTGCCTGGTTCTTGTCAATGGCCATGCTGAACTGGTTGATAGCAGGGGGAACCTTCAGGCGCATGAGCATGATGCGCTTCTGGCGCTGCAAGGTGATGTACTTGGGCCACTTCACGAAACGCGTCAGGTCGCGCTTGGGCTGGATGTCACCACCCAGGCGGAAGTTTCGAGGGGTCTTCTCGAAAAGTGGATTCTTCTTGGCCTTTTTCTTCTTGTCGGCCAGCGGCGCCGCTGGGAGCTTCTTGCCGCCCTTCGCTGCCTTCCCCATGGCAGGCAACTCCTATGTTGGTCTGCGATCTACGCTGTCGCCGCTTGGGAGCAGAAACGATCATGAACGATCATGCAACACGGACGAGCCAAGGCACGACACTCCTCTGTAAAGGGTTCACGCTCTCCATAACACGGCCAACTTAGGCTGCAACCATGCAAACGGCAGCTGGCACAGCCATGGGGCACGTGTCTGGTGCTCTGCAGCGGCCTTTACGTTAAGGTCTTGGAGTTGTCTGGCCAAATATCCTACGATCAGAGGGAGAGAGCGAGACAGAGGCTGCGTGTTCTGGGTGGGAAGGTGAGGAGACAGGGCCATGTTTGATCATGTTTGTCTTGCTGCTGCACTTCTCTGCATCGAGATCTTTATTGGGTACATGATCACGACCGGGGTTGTGCTGAGGTTTCTAGTTGCCTGGTTTGCTTGAAGCTGCAACTCATGCAATGTACCAATATTAGCGATACTAGTTGTGAGCAGCTCCACAACGCGGGACGAGCAATGCTGTACCAGCTCGAAACTATGCAACTGACATCGGGTGGGTCGGGGACTGGGCTAGGGCGGGGCGGATCCGCAAGGGATGCATTGCCAGCTTGTCGAGGTTGGTCCGCAAACCCCGCACGGCAGGACCACAACTTGTGAAAGCAAACTTGCCCTGCTGCTGTGTCAAAACGAACCGCTCGGAAGGGTACCTACCGTAGTACCGCCTGTCTGCCTCGCTTGGGAACACGGCAGCGAAGCTCATGACTTACGAAGCCTAGCGCTGCGAAGGAAAGACCCGTAACTCGCGTTGTGCTTGCTGCAACGACCATGGGTTTTGTCGCTCCTTTTTCTCGTCTGTCCTGCATGCGGGCACCAGCCGGCTTTACACCGTTGCGCCTCCCAGACTGCGGTCTGAATGCCAAGGAATCACAAACACCATGTACCCAGAAAATGCTCACTCTCCCTGAGCTGGAATTGGCCTGCTGGAGCTCGTGGAGAACATTCTTCTGCTGTGAACAGCTCCTGCAAATTCAAGGCCTTGGAAGTAGGGATTCCAGATTATGACTTGCGGGCATGGCTGCTCAAAGCTAAAACATGCTAAAACATAGCAACTCTCCCTTCTTTTGCAGCGCAGCCAACGAACGTCGGGGTCTGGCCAGGCTCAGGCGATCTGGAGGCCCAGCTTCTTGGCCTTCTCGGCCTGGATGGCCCGCTCCTTTCGTGCCGTGATGTGCTGGGACTTAATTCCCATGATGCCGCCGCCCCATCTTCGCTTCACCTCAGCATTGTCATTGAACTGTGCCTTGAAGTTGTTGACCAGGGTGTTCAACTCCTTCTCGTCCTCTGGCTTGACGGAGGTGATGGCAATGCAGGCACAGGCCTTCTGGTGAATCAACTGGCCCAGGCGTGACTTGCCCTTGATGATGCAGTAAGGCACATCCTTCTTGCGGCACAGTGCCGGCAGCCAGCACACGAGCTCAAGGGGATCCACATCATGGGCAATCACGACGAGCTTTGCCATCTTCTCCTCGATCAGCGTTGTCACGTGATTGAGGCCGTACTTCAGAACCTGGGGCTTCTTAGTCTTCACCTCCTGGCCGTCCTTCTTCTGCTGCGCCATCTCCATCAGCCTCGCCTTCTTGGCCTCCTTCGTCTCGGGCGAGTACTTCTTGCAGAGCTTCAGAAGAGACGCTGCCTGGTTCTTGTCAATGGCCATGCTGAACTGGTTGATAGCAGGGGGAACCTTCAGGCGCATGAGCATGATGCGCTTCTGGCGCTGCAAGGTGATGTACTTGGGCCACTTCACGAAACGCGTCAGGTCGCGCTTGGGCTGGATGTCACCACCCAGGCGGAAGTTTCGAGGGGTCTTCTCGAAAAGTGGATTCTTCTTGGCCTTTTTCTTCTTGTCGGCCAGCGGCGCCGCTGGGAGCTTCTTGCCGCCCTTCGCTGCCTTCCCCATGGCAGGCAACTCCTATGTTGGTCTGCGATCTACGCTGTCGCCGCTTGGGAGCAGAAACGATCATGAACGATCATGCAACACGGACGAGCCAAGGCACGACACTCCTCTGTAAAGGGTTCACGCTCTCCATAACACGGCCAACTTAGGCTGCAACCATGCAAACGGCAGCTGGCACAGCCATGGGGCACGTGTCTGGTGCTCTGCAGCGGCCTTTACGTTAAGGTCTTGAAGTTGTCTGGCCAAATATCCTACGATCAGAGGGAGAGAGCGAGACAGAGGCTGCGTGTGCTGGGTGGGAAGGCGAAGGGAGAGGGCCATGTTTGTCTTGCTGCTGCACTTATCTGGGTTTAGGAGTTCGGGAAACATAAGTGTGCGGTGGCTACAAAATGCTGTACAGCTCGATCTCCAATAACAATCTGACACTTGAGTATGATGCAGTGAACATGCGCAGCGTGTGTTGCGAAGAAATATTGAACCATTGAGTAATTCAGGAGTCGAGTTTGGTCCCAGTGCGCAAAGTTGGATTGTGGCTCGCTACTACTTTTCACGGACAACTCTTCACCGCCACCGGGCAGCAAGCAGTGCAGCTTTTTCACGAAAAACTGACCAGAGCATCACCATCACTCTGCTCACCTGGTCGATGCTGCAATCAGGCAGCACGCCTGCCTGTATGTGATCACCTGCAAGCCACAAGTGCTTCCCAGCCACGTGCCGATGAGTCTTGCGAGGTCCTGCGATTCCCCACCTTGTCGTGCTGGTTCTTGACCCAATTCACAAGGTACTCCTCGGCCGTCAGCACAGCTTCGGCTGCGGGTCACGATGCATCATGGATCATGGGGCCATGAGCAACATCACTTGGATCGCGGTCTATGGTGGTTGCCCAGCGGCAGGATTGGGACGTTTCCCGCGGTGGCTGGCCTTGTACGCTGCCACCATGTCCTGTCCCAAGCCATACACGCACCACACCAGCATCGTGGCACTATGAGGGCAACATCTCCCCGCACAAACCGTGTTGCTTCCTGCTCGGCCAAGGTCCCGTCTCCAGCCGAGCCAAGATGCACCTCAAGTTCTTCACTCCAGATCACTACAACAGCTGCTTCTGCACCCGGAAGGTAACACTACATGACCCCCGACGGACAAATTGCGACCAACCTGGACGGAAGTTCCACATCGAAGCGTGTGATAAGGAAAAAGCATGGCCTCCGAATACCAGCAGCAGCCCGGTGCAGTTGCACGCCGCGCTCTCTCTGGATCTGAGCGGCGGTGCAGGGGGGTTCCAGCAACTCAATCGAAAGTGGAAAGCACAGGACGTTCAGGCCGAAGGAGGTCCGAATCGACTGCCCTTTTGCGCCACTACGGCTGCTGCTGCTGCTGCTGCTGCTGCTGCTGCTGCTGCTGCTACGGCTGTTGCTGCTCATTCGCAACCCCATCGTGATCAACAGCGGCCCCGTGGGAGCTTTGCAGTTCCAGCCTTGCTGTTCATCCGCACCGTCCTGGCAGCACTGGACCCTGAGGGCAAATAACAGCCCGAAGACAGAATCTCAGACTTTGGGCACCTCCGGCATTGTGGACTGCAGGTTCGAGCCGAGGAAACCAAGATGCCTGTGCCACTTTCCTCTCTTGACTCAACAATGTCGTCTTGTCTGCAGGTTCCCGGCCTCTGTGTGGCCGCCAAATGCCCCTGCATGGCCAGCCGCATGCTTGTCTAAATGCAAGGTAAGGCGGCACAGGCGGCACAGGCGCCTGGTACGTATTCTTCTCTGCGAGAACATGACGCACAATGTCTCGGCATGCCGCGTTTTCATCCTTCAACCACAGGTTCTCGCCTGCCTCAGGGTGTGACGAACCGTGCAAGGATGAGATGAGGCGAGCCCTTAAACTCTTCCATGATCCAACTCATCTTCAGACAACGCAGGCATGACACGCTCCCAGACCTAATGTTCACTTCCCAAAACGACACAGACTGGACTACAACGTTGCCAGCCGAGCATCGGCAAGCTGGAGTTGAAACTCCTGCTTCTCCACAGTCCTGGTCTAGTGGAGTTGTCAGGCAGCGGCTACGGACGAGTTCATGGCCAATCAGACCTTGCTTGTACCCTGAAAAGACCTTCAGATGAAGTCTAAGTCTCTAAGTCCATCGGCGGCGATAGTGGCGACTGCAGGGCGCCAGCACGGTTTCGAAACAGGCCAAGGCTCTCTCGCAGGCTCTTGTCCTCCGACTCCGACTCTGTCTGCACAGCAACCTAGTGCTGACACCGCGGGGGTTACGTCGTAATTCGTGTGATAAAGGGGAACCTTCAAGCCTTTGGTGATCCTCTGCATTGGGCAGCGAGATGCAGCGCTCCACTGAGGTTTTGGCAGATGATGGCTCATGGCCTGTTGGCTCGTCGCCCTTGAGCCTTTCCTGACAGCGAGGTCGCTAGTGCCGTTTATCATGCCACAGCACGGCAAGCTGTGTCTTGCACTGAATGCGGCCGATCCGTCTTCAACGGCATTTCCTCCCTGACGCCACAACTTCTTGCACGAGAACATCACCTGAGGCATCAGCGAGGAGCTGCGCTAGCTGGGCATCGATGTTCTCGATGCGCTGGGACAGTTGCCTGTCTTTCGCCACTGCATCTATAAGTTTACCGTTACATGTACGAACCCACGTGAGGGTGCCACGACTGAACCGCAGTCTTTACGGCCCTGTCCGCGATGTCCTCTGAACTTTGCTTTCGCGCAGCTCTGACTACAAAAACTAAGATCACATCCGGGGATGCCTGCAGCTGCCTTCCAGGCTCTTCCCAGATCTCCTTGAAACAATTTCGAAAGCCGTGTACATCATACAGATCTGGTTACCTCCTGCTGAATCCGGTTCAAGATTGCCGGTTTCCCTCCCCTGCCTTCTCGGAGGGATTGGCACTGCTTGCCTCCTCCTTTTCTCCCATGGCCTGGCAAAAGCATCGTGCTGCCGATCAGCAACCCACACTGGCTGCACGTCTCTGCTCACTGGCCATGCCATGATCTGCACTCACAAAGGCTCTCTGGTCACACTTCCCAGTCTCGCTTTCTCTTGCTCGTGCTCGATTGCAAACTGCACTGCGACTGGCAAACACTACCGGGGCGTAAATTCGTTATGCCCCGACGTCGGGTACAAGTGACTCGCGGGACGAGGGCTCTCAAGCCTGAGGGGGTGAATGCTTGCAGCATGGATCAAACGCACGGGTTTATCTCCTTGGTCTTTGCATTGGAGCCGTTCTGTCGTTTGACCTACTATGTAGGCACGATAAAGCAGGGACACGCTACTGATTGTTGATGATTGTTGTCATTCGGCATCACGCGACAGCTTGGCACGCTCGGTTCTTGCACTGAACGGGGTTGATCCAACGTCCCGGAAAGACTTTCTTAACATTTCTTGCAATGGGGCATCAGCTGAGGCATCAGCAAGAAGCTGCGCTAACTGCGCATCGATCTTCTCGACGCGATGTGACAGTTGCCTTTCAGCCGGCTCTTTCGGAATCTGAATTGCCGAGACACTCGCAACTCGAGTTCCCAAGGCCGCAACGACTGAACCGCAGTCTTTACGGCCCTGTCCGCGATGTCCTCTGAACTTTGCTGTTGCGCAGCTCTGACTACAAAAACTAAGAACACATCCGGGGATGCCTGCAGCTGCCTTCCAGGCTCTTCCCAGATCTCCTTGAAACAGTTTCGAAAGCCGTGTACATCATACAGATCTTACCTCCAGCTGAATTTTGTTCAAGACTGCCGGTTTCCCTCCCCTGCCTTGTCGGAGGGATAGGCGCTGCTTGCGTCCTCCTTTTCTCCCATGGCCTGGCAAAGGCATCGTGCAGCCGATCAGCAGCGATTGCAAGCTGCGACTGGCAAACGCCACGCGGGGCAGATTCGTCATGCCCTGACTCACAAGTTTCGGACCATTCCGAAGCGAAATGCCCTGCACAAGTGACATGCGGCGCGATGGCTCGGAAAACAGCTACGTCCAAGCCTGAGGGGGTGCATCTTGCAGCATGAGTGATTCGCTCCCTCTTTTTGTTGGGCGTGACCTGCGCTGCCTGCTCCGGTGTGCTGCAGCTGAGCTCTATGGCCAAGCGCACGGATTATCTGCGGGGGTGGACATTACTTGGTCTTCGCCTTGGAGCCGTTCCCTCGTTTCACCTATGTAGCGCGATGAAGCAGGGGCACGCTACTGATTGTTGATGATTGTTGTCACACAGCATCACGCGAGAGTTTGGCACGGTCGCTTCTTCCACTGAATACGTCGGATACAGCGCCCCGGAATGAAGAATTTCAGAGTATTCCAGGTTTTGCAGCTCCGCCTACACACACGCAACAAAGGAACACGGAGTGTTGGGGTCGCTCATGATTCTTGTCATGCGACAGCATGGCACACTCGCATCTTGCACTGCATGCGGCAGATCCGTTAACATCCCAGAATGAAGATTCTCTTATTGTCTCTTGCAATGGACACCATCAGCTGAGGCATCAGCGAGAAGCATCCCCAGCTGAGCATCGATCTTTTCGATGCGTTGCGAAAGTTGCCTTTCTTCCGCCACTGAATCTCAATGTACCGTGTGTGCAACTGCAGCTCGAGATCTCGAGGGCGCCACGACTGAACCGCAGTCTTTACGGCCCTGTCCGCGATCTCCTCTGAACTTTGCTTTCGCGCAGAGATCGGAATACACAGGTGTGCACAGTATCTGGGGCGGCCTGGAGCTGCTCACATCGGGCTTCCCAGACTTCCTCGGAACCCGTTCGCAGGCAAATGCTGTGATTTGACCGTGTAAATCACGCAGATCTTACCTCAAGCTGAATCCGGTTCCAGCACTCTAACTCGGACGGATCAGGCGAGACTCTAGCAACAGCAGTTGGCCACAGACAACAACCCATCCCTATCAACTACAACGCAGAGAATAAAAGGAGTTCGGCCACACTCTGAGATCTTCATGCTCTCAGAATACGCTAGTTGAAGACATCAGCCGCTACTTTGACAAGATCACACAAGGTCGGGTCAAGGTAAGACTCAGGAGACTGTCGAAAGATTGGGATAGTCCGGTTTCAGATTGCCGGTTTCCCCCCTGCCTTCTCAGACGGAGCTGCACTTCTTTCATCCTCCTTCGTTTCCAGAGCCTGGTGAAGGCTTGGCGAAGGCATCGTGCATGCCGATCTGCAACTCACATGAACGCACGTCTTTGCTCACTGGCCGTTCCATGATCTGCCGAACCACAAGCCCTCTCTTCACACTACCAAGTGCTGGCTTTCGATTTTTCGCGCTCGATGCTCAAGCCTAAGCTTCGGACCGTTCCCAAATGAGAAATGCATTGCACGAGTGACTTGCGGCGTGAGGGCTCTGAAATCAGCTACGTTCAAGCCTGAGGGGGTGAATGCTTGTAGCGCGTGTGATTCGTCAGTGCGCTGCGGCTGTGCTCTGCCCAAGCGCACGGATCATCTACGGGGGTGCGCTATACTTGGTCTTTGCCTAGGAGTCGTTTATTTCCGGGTTTCGGAGCATGTAAGGTTTCGCCAGGAGGGACGAAGTGTTGAGCTCGCACACGACAGCACCGCACATCACGGCACACTCGCATCTTGCACAGCATGCGGCAGATCCGTTAACATCCCAGAATGAAGATTCTCTGAATGTCTCTTGCAATGGACACCATCAGCTGAGGCATCAGCGAGAAGCATCCCCAGCTGAGCATCGATCTTTTCGATGCGTTGCGAAAGCTGCCTGTCTTCCGCCACTGAATCTCAATGTACCGCGTGTGCAACTGCGGCTCGAGATCCCGAGGGCGCCACGACTGAACCGCAGTCTTTACGGCCCTGTCCGCGATCTCCTCTGAACTTTGCTTTCGCGCAGCTCGGAATACACAGGTATGCACAATATCTGGGGCGGCCTGGAGCTGCTCACATCGGGCTTCCCAGACTTCCTCGGAACCCGTTCGCAGGCAAATGCTGTAGTTTGACCGTGTAAATCACGCAGATCTTATTCGGTTCCAGCACTCAAACTCGGACGGATCAGGCGAGACTTTAGTAACAGCTGTTGACCACAGACAACAACCCATCCCTATCAACTACAATGCAGAGAATAAAGGGAGTTCGGCCACACTCTGAGATCTTCATGCTCTCAGAACACGCTAGTTGAAGACATCAGCCGCTACTTTGACAAGATCACACAAGGTCGGGTCAAGGTAAGACTAAGGAGACTGTCGAAAGATTGGGATAGTCCGGTTTCAGATTGCCGGTTTCCCCCCTGCCTTCTCAGACGGAGCTGCACTTCTTTCATCCTCCTTCGTTTCCAGAGCCTGGTGAAGGCTTGGCGAAGGCATCGTGCATGCCGATCTGCAACTCACATGAACGCACGTCTTTGCTCACTGGCCGTTCCATGATCTGCCGAACCACAAGCCCTCTCTTCACACTATCAAGTGCTGGCTTTCGATTTTTCTACTCGATGGTCCGACTCAAGCCTAAGCTTCGGACCGTTCCCAAATGAGAAATGCATTGCACGAGTGACTTGCGGCGTGAGGGCTCTGAAATCAGCTACGTTCAAGCCTGAGGGGGTGAATGCTTGTAGCGCGTGTGATTCGTCAGTGCGCTGCGGCTGTGCTCTGGCCAAGCGCACGGATCATCTACGGGGGTGCGCTATACTTGGTCTTTGCCTAGGCATCGTTTATTTCCGGGTTTCGGAGCATGTAAGGTTTCGCCAGGAGGGACGAGGTGTTGAGCTCGCACACGACAGCACCGCACATCACGGCACACTCGCATCTTGCACTGCATGCGGCAGATCCGTTATCGTCCCAGAATGAAGATTCTCTGGATGTCTCTTGCAATGGACACCATCACCTGAGGCATCAGCGAGAAGCATCCCCAGCTGAGCATCGATCTTTTCGATGCGTTGCGAAAGCTGCCTGTCTTCCGCCAGTGAATCTCAATGTACCGCGTGTGCAACTGCAGCTCGAGATCCCGAGAGCGCCACGACTGCACCGCAGTATTTACGGCCCTGTCCGCGATCTCCTCTGAACTTTGCTTTCGCGCAGCTCGGAATACACAGGTATGCACAATATCTGGGGCGGCCTGGAGCTGCTCACATCGGGCTTCCCAGACTTCCTCGGAACCCGTTCGCAGGCAAATGCTGTAGTTTGACCGTGTAAATCGCGCAGATCTTACCTCAAGCTGAATCCGGTTCCAGCACTCTAACTCGGACGGATCAGGCGAGACTCTTGCAACAGCTGTTGGCCACAGACAACAACCCATCCCTATCAACTACAACGCAGAGAACAAAGGGAGTTCGGCCACACTCTTACTGAGGTCTTCATGAGATTGCCGGTTTCCCCCTGCCTTCTCAGACGGAGCTGCACTTTGTTCATCCTCCTTCGTTTCCATGGCCTGGCGAAGGCTGGACAAAGGGATCGTGCAGCCGATCTGCAACTCGCATGAAAGCACGTCTATTGAATCTATTGCTCACTGTCCGTTCCATGATCTGCCGAACCACAAAACCTCTCTTCACACTACCAAGCGCTCGCTGCGCTCGCTTTCGCGAAATCGTGCTCGATTGAAACTCTGATTGGCAAACGCGGGCGGTGGCGGGGTTCGTCATGCCCCCCGACTCAAGCTGAAGCTTTGGACATCTTTGGACTTGTTCCCAAACGAGAAATGCATCGCACACGTGACTTGCGGAGTGAGAGCTCTGAAATCAGCTACATTCAAGCCTGGGGGTGAATGCTTGTAGCGCGTGTGATTCGCCAGTGCGCTGCGGCTGTGCTCTGGCCAAGCGCACGGATCATCTACGGGGGTGCACTACACTTGGTCTTGCCTAGGCGTCGTTTATTTCCGGGTTTCGGAGCACGCAAGAGGGACGAAGTGTTGAGCTCGCACACGACAGCACGGCACATCACGGCACGCTCGCATCTTGCACTGCATGCGGCAGATCCGTTAACGTCCCAGAATGAAGGTTCTCTGGATGTCGCTTGCAATGGACACCATCAGCTGAGGCATCAGCGAGAAGCATCCCCAGCTGAGCATCGATCTTTTCGATGCGTTGCGAAAGTTGCCTTTCTTCCGCCACTGAATCTCAATGTACCGCGTGTGCAACTGCAGCTCGAGATCCCGAGGGCGCCACGACTGAACCGCAGCACTTACGGCCCTGTCCGCGATCTCCTCTGAACTTTGCTTTCGCGCAGCTCCGAATACACAGGTATGCAAAATATCTGGGGCGGCCTTGAGCTGCTCACATCGTGCTTCCCAGACTTCCTCGGAACCCGTTCGCAGGCAAATGCTGTCATTTGACCGTGTAAGTCACCGTTCAAGCTTTCCGGTTTTCCCTGCCTCCTCGGATGGAGCTGAGCTGTGTGCCTCCAACGTGCTTGCCATGGCCTGGCGAAGTTGCCGCGCAGCCAATTAGCAACACAATTGGGCACGCCTCTCTGCTTGAATGGCCATGCCACTTCTTGATCCATAATATGTAAAGCCCCATCTTGACATCAAGGCCTCGATCCGAAAGGTCAACTGATCGACCTTCCATGCGAGCTGGAAGCCGACGTGTGGAGCCAATTGCGATGGCGCATCCTAAACCTGGCCTTCTCGAAGCGTCCCTCGAAGTCCTCCGACGAGCGAGAGCTTTTCGACGCTCAGGGGAAGCGAAGCTTTGACTTGACATCGGGCGCCTTCTTCAAGCCTTCCAGTGCATCCAGGACCGGCTGCAACATGCCTGAGACAGGAAGCGATCAGCAGCTGGCACGAGCGAGTCAGCGCACGCTGGCAAGAGGACCGCTTGCAGGGTCGATGGTGGAGCTCGAGCCTTCCTGCATCGGAGCACACACGGCAGCACTGATCACTGGAATCTTCTGAGAAGACAATCCGCTCGGACCCTCCGCGCCTGGGGCTTTCGGTCAAGCCTCTCCAGGGACTCCTCAAAAGGCGGTGTCCCTCTCTTTCGATACATCTGTGGAAACTCGCAGACTCCAAGCCGAGGCGCCAGTCCGGACCTTCGCCCACCGTCACGTCGAGCCTCGGATGTGTTGCGGGGAGCATGGAAAGGGTCGAGACCCAAGTTCACCCAACCGCTCTGTGTCTCGATGAGTCCCCAAAGTCTGGGTTGGCAGCGCGGGATGCACGGGACTCGCGGCCGTCAAAGGCCTGACAGGCCGTAGCCATCGATGAACAACGGAACGAGCTTGAATTTCTCAAATCACTGCATCACGGCGAGCCTCTTCCTTGGCTACTGCATTTGCCTGGCGCGCGGCGCGAGCCCACGCACAGCATTCAAGCTTGCCCGCGGTCTTGCAACATCTGCTCTCAGAGGTCTCGAACCTCCGCGCCATGGCCAACTGACTCCTCCCAAGCCATGGCAGAGCCACAGATCTTTCCGGGTTCTTGCGGCTCCCATCTTGCACACAGCATGGGCTCAGCACTCCTGACCCCCACGTTGACCAAGCAATCTCGGCAGAGGCCTCAGCAGCTCTGTGAGACGGCCAGCGCAGAAAGCTACAGTGCACGCACATGCACGCCACCAGCGCCGCCCACGCCGGAGGCCCAGAACCATAACAAACGGCTTGGCGAAATGGATTCGTCAAAGGACCACCTCCGCTGCAAAGACCTGCCAATGCACCATTCTGTGTGACCTCCTGGCAGTCGTTCCTGCCATGTGCAACAACAAGACACCGACGCACGTTCGCGTTCTATGTCGCCAAAGGCCGCTGTGCAGAACCATGGAAGAAACGGCAGCACGTGCCTGCACCCACAGTTTGCGATTCAAGCATTGTCGCGAAAACGGCTGACACGGCGAATCGCCTGCTTAATCCTAAGCTATAGAAAGTGCCATCTCGCTGCGCATAACAAATCGGAAAAAATGATGCTCACTCTGGCTCAGGTCACGGCGGTCGCGAGTGTGGCTCCTCTGGCGTACAAGTCACCTGTGCTTAGCAAGAGTCGACTTTGTCACGGTTTACGGCTTCTGAAGTCGAGGCTACGACGGAACGGCCAGCAGCACCATGTGCTGCCTGACGTTCGAAGACCTCGGCACAAACTGCGCCATTGATGTCTGGGAGACCCGCCCTCCGAGCCCTGCGAGCCCTGCCTGGCCTGGGTGTACGATACGACCTTTGCAGGCAGCTGCGAGAAGACCCGGCGAGTTGGCCTGACAGGAGCAATCGAAACGATCCGATCCAGCCGCGAGTCGCGTCGAGGCTTTCAAACTCAGACGGCGGCAAGCGACGACAAGGACCTGGACCCAACACCACGCAAGGGCAACCCGACACACGACGTCGGCCGCTTAAGTAGTTGCTCTGGGTGCCCAGCTGACAGTTCGAGACACCTGGCACAGTTCAGTGCACCCTCCACAGCATGAGCATCCAACCGACTGGGTGTGGCCGAGTCACTGTCACCACCCTGGGCGACATGCTGCGGCACGCCATCGCAGAATTGGCTTACCGATCCAAAGCCACAGCTGTTACCGCACTGTGAGCCAATCTCCGGGACATGACACCCTCAAGAGCTACCGAATGACCGCTGGCAGCAAGGCAGTCCAGCCTCTGCAACAACAACCACAAAGCCTGCAACCGAAACTTGCCCTGCTGCTGCGGCAAAACGCCGCACTCTTGCCTCGGGAGGCAGTGAATGCAAGAGTTAAAAACCATGAACTCCCGAGTTTATTGCCCGGCATCGGGCCGCCTTGGACCCCTCAGGCCCGCAGAATTTACTTATGATTTAATTGGCCCTGAACGTTGCGCGACGCTCCATTCCACGCCTGTCCTGCTCCTACACGGCACAATTAAATCATGATTTAATTCTTTCTGCTACACTATCCGAGCTCCTACACGGCACAATTAAATCATGATTTCTTTCTTTCTGCTACACTATCCGAACCCGAGGCGACAATTAAATCATGATTTAACTGTTCTGAATCAATGACCAAATCTGGAACAATTAAATCAACTCGAACAGTTGGCAAGAACGCAACAATTAGATCATCATGTAACTGCCTCGCAGGATCCTTGTTTCAGGCTCAAGGTTTAAGGTGAAATGCACGGTCCGCATGCTTGTTTGTCTACTGCATTGTGTGCAGGTGTGTCTACGGGACGCGTCCCTAAGAGGCACTGTGTTGTTACAGCAAGCAATGGTAGATGACAGCCCGAAAAGGAGAAGCAAGATCTTGAGCAAGAGAGAATTTCAGAGGACAGCTTCGGTGGCATCGAAATGGCGGTCCATGGCGTTGGAAATGATAATGGGTGGACCCCAAAGAGATGAATGCAGGCAAGGCGGAGGCGTGATCATACTCGACTCGACTAGACGAGACTAGAGTAGACTGGAGTAGACTGGAGTAGACTGGAGTAGGCTACAGACTAGAACCGAGTAGACTAGACTAAACTAGTCTACTTATTTAGGCTAGCTTTCCCTGGACCGTGATAGGAACCAGCTACATTACTGGTGGTTACCAAGAAGGACGCCAAATTGCACAATTAAATCATGATTTAATGTGGTATCCCGCTACTGTGGCGATCTACTCATCTAGGCTAAAATTCCTTGGACCGTGATAGTAACCCCAACTGCATTCCTGGTGGTTACCAAGGAGGACGAATTCGGCAACTAGATCATGATTGAACGCGGATTCCCGCTAGTGTGGCGATCGACTTATTTAGGCTATAAGTCTTAGGACCGTGATAGGAACCAACTATATTACTGGTGGTTACCCAGAAGGACGCCAAATTCTGCAATTAAATCATGATTTTATGTGATATCCCCCGAGCGTATTGCACACAAGTCTCTGGTAGAATATACTGGCACACAAGAGACAGTAAACTCATGATTTAATTGTTTATAAGAGAAATGCATACCGACACAATTACAACCCGATTTAATTGTGTCTTTGGAAGGTCCAAGGTATGTCAAAACCGAACAATTAAATCAAGATTTAATTTTAGTTAACTTCTGGATTCATTGGTTTTCCTCTTGCCTCTCTTGGACCTGTGCGAATCGGAGTGATGCGGAAAGCCGTCTCACGTTTACCGTGTCCTCCTTTGGAGCATCTAAAGTCTGGCGCACCAGATCTAGAGACGAACGACAACTAGCTACTGGACTACCCAGCTTGCCACCACTTCCCAGTGGCTTCAGAATCTCGACGCACTGAGTTGTCATGGGTGTTTCTGATCGCGTCTCACCAGGGCCTGTCAACTTGACTCCCTCGAGGTCCTTTCCACGTTGTAATGCTGTGAATGTGACGATGAGTGCAACGCCGGATGTCCGGGCGTCGCCATGTCGCCGGCGAGGCCGAGCACCGCACGCTGGCTCCGCATGTCAATGTCTGTCTGGAAGACTGCGAGAAGAGGCGTTCCTTCACGACTTCGGCTAAGGGGACAAGTCAGTCTCTCGCACGGAGTCGCTATGGCGATCGTGGAAATCCTTGCTCCAGCACAGAAGGACGGTCGAGGGTGGAAAAAATGAAAAGCAACAAACAGAAGCATGAAAAGGCCAAGTGTCTGCACACGCTGGCGTAGGTCGCAGTTTTTGGTGCAGGCTCGCAGCGGGCGTCCAGACGCGCCTCCAGGGCAGTCATTTCGGAGAGGTTCCACTCGACCCCTGGGGCCCAATCAGGCCATCGCTGCGCAAGGATGCCACGATACCGCTCGAGGAAGTTCTTGACAAGTTCGGAGGGTTCCCCGGTGTCTGCAGCATTTGGCAGACTCGCCATCCACCTTCTCCACTCCTGGGCTGCTTCGTGAAGCGTCCGATTTGCTCGCACCCATGCTTTCTTGTGAGTTCCGCTTCCTGAAGCCATCGCTGCCAACACCACGCCCGCCTGCGCTCTGAAACTTTACCATGCTGAATGACCATCACACTTTTATCTACATTGAATCTACGTTTCTGTCACTGTGGGGGTCACAACGGCCGGCACCTTGCTCTTGAAGGCCTTCACCACCTCCCTCTCCATGTGGTCGTGCAGCGCACTGCCGCGCAATCGTGCATCGCGCATGCTGGCCGGTGGCGCATCGCTGAGCTCGTAGGACCAAAGATTTACGGAGGCAGTGTCCTGCACAGACCGTTACGGATATCATCTTGCAGAAGCTACTTCCACAATCGGGTGTCCTCAAAAGGCTGTTCGAACTGATGCCACCAGTATCCGGGCAAGTACAAGACGTCGCCAGGCCCCACCACTGTCTCTGACAGAAGGACATCAACGAAACCAGGGTGCCGCGCGAGATCTGGGTTGCTCAGGTTGACTTGCGAGCTGCCGGCGAGGGGATGCGCGTTGGGATAAGGATACAAGGCGTCGTACTGTCCAGGTTCTGCGAGAATCGCCCTCTTCCTGCCCCAAGCCATGACGTAAAGGTTGTCCGAGGAGTCGTAGTGTAAAGGCATGGTCACTCCCCTTTGGCCAATCCACAGCTTGGCGTTGGCAACCCCCCCGAAAAAAGGCTGCATTTTTGCCAGCGGTCTCAAGGCTGTGACCATTTCTTCCAGATCTGCGGCGATCTGCGGCGTCGCCGCTTCGCCGGCGACTACAGGAGCAGCATCTCGTTCCATCAGGATGTCGTGCAGGTAATGCAGGCGCGGCTCTGTCTCTGACGGAGACTCTCGCAGAGTTCCCACGAAACCCTCGAAATGATCCCGATAGAGGTGCGTCCTGGGCCGGAATGGGTACGGATATCCTGCCTCGGCTGCGATGCGGCGTGGCTCGTAGTATTGACAACAAGCTGTCGCTGCATCTGCAGCCACATTGTAAAAACCTCCGTGCATGAATCGGCGGAGGTATTCCAGCGTCCACTTCTGCACTACAGAGTGGCTCAAATTTCCATCGAAGAGATCCGTGATGACCACCGGCTCTGCACGAGAGATGAACTCCATGGCATCGGCCAACTTCCGCCGTGCGACCATACGAGGCTTCTGCACAAGGGAAGGGGACGCGAGGGACGCGTGCCGAGAGCTCGCAATCAGCCTTTCGGCTTCCAGATCGTCCAGAACAGCTTCGAGCTTGGGCCTCACTTCCGCTTGCCAGCGCAGGATCGACCTCAAGGTGCCACCGCTGTCTCCGCCTCCACCGCTTTCCGTCAGGGCTCGCTCTCTGCCTTTCTCCAGGGCTTCGAAGGCGGCTCTTAGAGATGTTAGGCCAAAGTCAGGCTGCCTCTCGGGATCCATTAAAGTCTCCGCCAACTGCAGCCATTGCTCTGCAGACCTCGAGTCCGCCCCTGCTTCCGCTCTCTCCCAACAGGTCCTGGTCGTTGCGACGGCGTGAGCTGCACCGCACCTGAGCTCCCACAGCTCTGCCCTCACCTAGACCTATAGAGACCTAGGCCATCCTAGGCCTACAGGAGCTCACTGAGGCAGACACCCGCGGCGCACCGTGCTCCAGCCGCAGCCCGGTAATCGCACGCACTCGTCGCAGGCTTCGGCATCGCAGCGCAGCAAGCTGGGAGTGGCATCAGCATCGGAAGCAGCGCAAGCAGCAGATGAAGGAGCCGCGTTTTCTGCGTTGATGACATAGCTCTGAGCTTCAGGGTCAATCGTAATCCGAAGCAAAGGAAGCAGCGTGCCGGCACGGGCCTCGGCTTCAAGTTCCCAACACGAAGGCACAGAAAATCGCACAAAGCTGGAATGCCTTTACGGCCGAGAGCGTGAATTTGTCTCAGGCAGGCGCGAACGTGAAGAGGTGACCTTCTGCAACCTCCAATACCTTCCGACCGCCTCCACCAGGAACTGGTCCGAAGTCCTTGCGTGGACCCGCGTTAGTCCCGTGCCAAAACAAGCTGCAGTCCACATCGAGATCGTTGATGAAAGTGATGTTGAGCAGTCCGCTTGCACACTTCAAGAGTGCAATCGAAATCCATGCTGGCAGCCTCCGCGAAGTCATGGCGCTTCTCGGAACTGCCGATCTCATGGCTGCGCAAAAGAACTTCTTTCCGCATCCAGCTAAGGTCCCGATGCTCTCGCAAGCGCATGAATCACCCATCTTTTGTGCTTCTCGCATGCATGCAATCTCGGGCTCAGGGCGCGCTACTCGCTGTCAGGCCCGAGGATGACTCGCCTGAGGACAGTCACTCCAGTACTTCTGAACATGCGCTTACTGGGCCCTGTACCGATGCACAACTTGAAAGCCCAAGGCTTGGGAAAGTATAGACACTCGCGGACTCGCTGAAGGCAGAGATGGTGTGAATGTCCTGGCATGGGCTTCTGAACTTCGCAAAGCGGGTGCGAGATTGCCAAGTGAAACTCATGGCGGGTCCACCCTGAACGTCGGTTGAGCAGAATGGATGACAGGAAGGCACACATGATGACAATAGCATCCACACCTGTACCAGTTGCCAGCGTCGGCTTGATCACCATTTCGATAGTGCGAGGTTGCTGCAACTACTCATGCAGTGCATGGCCCACCTGGCTTCACCTGCAGCTTCCAACCTTCACGCACATCGTCAACACGCCTCAGAGCTTGCTGCAAAAAACTGCAGGACGGTGATGGTTGATTATTCAAACCATCCTTGCGATACAGACCCCACTAGGCCCCAGGCAAATTTTCTGAAACAACGCTTGCAGACGCCAACATGCTGCCATTTACTCGGCAAGCAGTGTAGGTGAGCCTGAGCATCGCCAGTGCTTCCGCATAGCACTGTCAGCTTGAAAGGCATGGCTGCTTGGGAGTGGACGCATCAGCGTTCCCATCCACGGCCATGACTGGAAAGCCGTTGCACATCCTCGTGGCCGGCATGACCAGCAATCGAAGATTGAATTGGAGGTGACCTTGCCTGTTTAGCTGGACGGCACCATGCGGAAACCTTCCTCCCCTCTCCGCACAATCATTCATCTTCTCTGACCATTGGTCTTGGGATGGCATCTTAGGATTGAGATCATGGGTTGGGGGTGCCTGGACATGGCGTACCGACTTCGGCAAGGGCGGTTGCAACCGCTTCAACCGAGCTGCAGCATCATCCGGCCGCCGGCGTTCTCCAGAAACCCGTACAACCTCAAACAGAACGAAAGTCGAATTGGAGGGCGTTTTCAGTAAATGGGCTCCAAGCTGGTTGTCGCGATTGTAGATCTCCAGGCCAGACTGCATGGAAGACCTGCGGTGTTCTGGAAGAGAAAGTCAGCGAGCCAGAAAGGTGCGCTGCTGCGGCCTCCTTTGAAGAACAACTGCCGCCGGAGAGTCCAGGTTGACGGGCCAGATCCAAAGCTGTACTCCCTCAGGTCCGCGGTCCTCTGCATACTGCGGATTCTCCACAACTAAACACGAATGGGCCCTTGGGCGGTCTGCCTGCAAGTCGGCCTGAAGAAGCTGCTTGCCTGCGACGACAACACCCCAAAAAACCCAAACAGAAGGATTCTGTGATCTTTGGCTCAACTTCTTCCGCCTGAGCCGCCCCAAATGGGAAAGGGCCCAAAGCCAGGATTTTTCAATCCTCAGCTGAGAGCACATGCACTTTTCAGGAACCCTGCGTTGAATGCTCGCTGACTATAGGTTGATCCGTACATGGAGGTCCTGCCAGCAGTATGCGTGATCCGTGCATTTTCTGTATGACAACAGAAGACAGGAAGTTGCGCATGCCAAGCTCCTACTAAGTAGTACAAAATTGACCGCACTGGGCAGCGTCAGGCAACAACTGATCTACTCGAACATGCTCCTGCCGACGACTAAGCCCACAACGCTCTGCATCGACAAGGAAGATGGCGAGGTGCTTGGGCAAAATAAGATTCTCACCTTGGAAGCTTTGTTAGGTATGTCTGGTCAGCATCGGGTCATCCAGCCCTCCACAGGCATCACCCAAGCGACTCAAGGGGACATGGCGCCCGGACCACCTGTTCGACGGACGACAATCGGATGCTAGACCACTAGACGAAGCGCATGGATAGTGGCCAATTGTGCTGTTAAGAGACTGTCGTGGAAAGGTCTTCTCTCTGCGCTTGCTGCTCCTCACCTCTTGTGCTCTCATGCCCAATTGCATCGCTTTTCTCTCTGAATGTGCAAAGCTCTCGCCACATGGGTTGGACAATGCCGCTCAGTGTATTGCTGACGGTGATTGCCTCTCGTTCGGTGCCACTGCTCCAGGTTTGGCTCTCAAAAAGCCTGTGCTTCCATTCTATCAACTTCCGGAACATAATTTCGTCAGCTGAAGCTAAGACGGAAGCCAAGTGCGCCAAGGTTGGGCCTGCACGGGTATTTGCCTTCGCAAACGATTTGTCAAGAACACGAGTTGCAGCATCCGTTGTTCAGCACACTCTCGCTCAGAAAACTCGCAACAAACCTCTCGAGGGGAAAGTTGTTCTAAGTGTACGTAGTGACGATGAAGCTGCTAATAGAGATTTCAGGCTGACCGCCACACATCGGAGCAACAGTTATCGGGTGCAAAAGTGCGAGCCGAAGCGGATTACGGAGGCCGCGACCACCCGCTCTCACAGTCATGAGCCAGAAGCTCCACCTGTGGAACTGTTTTCGCCGACAGTCCTACATTCTCAGCACGAGCGCAACCGGCAAAAAGACACCCAGACCCAGAATGACCACTGTAACAACCATGCGCACCATGCGCCACGTGACGATGAGAGAACAGCGAGTCAGACTCACGACCTATCCTCGAGAGAACTCGTTCCCAAGTCTGGAGCTCACTCCATTGCCTTCGGTCGGGATGAGAAGAGCTCACGACCGAAGACTGATGTGACGAACTTTACGACCTTCCTGCCTGTACTGCAAACATACAAAGGCTGCGATGTCGAGATTGTCTCATTTGTTTGGCCCCTTTCACCATGTTGCTTAAGTTTGAAGCGACAATGCCTGCAGCTTCATTTTGGGAACGGCAGTGATCTGTCACGACCACGGCTGGGCTCTGAAGTGGTCAAAGCGACCACATTGCACTTCGTTCGGTTTCCGTGTATATCAGCACGAGATGGTTGTGTCGCAAAAAAGAGCTCAGTGATCCGCAAAGCTTTGGAGGATCTTCATCTGGACGAGGCCGTGCCAAAGCTGTAGGAGGCATTGCAAGTGCCTGCACAAATCTCAAACATGCCTTTTGAATCTGCGGTTTAACTGCCACTTGTCAGAGCATGGGATTCCATCCTGGCCTGTGAGGCTTGTATCGATAAACGGGGCTCCGAGCCTACCACGCGGCCCCAAGAATGCAGAAAAAGCAGGTTCGGTTGCCACTGGATGTCATCCACGCCTCTCATGGAGGATGTCCCTGGAGCCTGGAGCCAGAGGCGCTCAGAATCGCGCAAGGACACGTCTCAACGGTGGGCGCCTCCCGTCTCGGTCCCAAACTCCCCCGCTCCAGGAGTTTACTTCCTGGCCCCTCCAAGTAGGAGCCTTCAACCGGAGCAAGGAGCAAGGGCCGCAATAGAATGCAGAGCTGCTGAAAGGGGGTACTCGCGAGGCCCGAGGCCCTGGCTTGAGTCCTGAGAGCAGAGCTGAGAGCCAGTTACGTGAGAGCCCTTTTAGGTCGGAGCGCCTCCCTCCAGCTGCTGACAAGGCTCTGAAAGCAGATAAACAATCAACGGAATAATGAAGACCATGGCCAGCGCCACCAACAGCATCACCTGGATGGCACGGAGCCTATAACGCATTCAAGGTCCGGTCTGAGTAGAAAAGATTGAATGCGAACCCCGTTCACGAACAGTCTGATCCCACGTTCTCTGAGTGTGTGACAAGCTCAGTTGTGCTGATTCTTCCCTGTCGGCTTCTGCACTGTATCGTCTCCAGCGTCACCAGAACCGAAACTTCCACCCTAGATTCGCCGTAACTTCCGTTGTTGATTCGATTGTTCTCCTAACACCGAAAGTCAGGCCTAACCGGCCTGACCTGGAGCATCGCCTTTTTGCGGCTAAAGGCTAACATCTCGTGCAGGTCACTTTGCAGTTCCGTGTTGAAGCCAGGCAAGACTTGAAACCCGACAGCGAACGGACAAATGTCCCGTCATGAACATGCATGCACGAGTCACGAACCTGCGACAGGACGAACAAGGGCAAGAGCAACAAGAACACATTGCACACGACACACGAATGGTCGGTCACTGGGCTTTCGGCCGTGAGGTTCGAAGATGAACTCGCATTTTTTTCTACCTGCCCATGCCGGCACCGATCTCACAAGCGACCTTGTTGAGGGTTTGCCGCCGGTGCTACTAGCTTGTCGCAGCCAGTCCGACCAAGGCGAGTCAATGAGTTTACAGAGCCGTCCCACGTCCTTTGCCGAGCCTCGAGCGACAACACAGAAAGGAGACTGAAGGATCTCGATTCACGCTCCTGCGAACCAGGGAGTGTAACGTAGGCATCCTTGAGTGTGCCGACATGAGGTCCTTGGGCAAAGCGTCCGGTCCAAGTTCGGAGGACCTGACGCATGTGACATGCTACTGAGGAACAGCAGAAACGATAAGCCGAGTTGACACAAACCTGATCCACATCTCGGTGAGGGACAGCGTTGGTTTCGAAGCGTTTGCAACGGCAAAGACTGTCTGCAATAGCAGGATGTCGCACTCCTTCGAGAAATGCTGCATGCTGTAGAACCAGAGGGCCCTTGTCTAAAACCAGGTTCTGGTCCTCGTCCAGGCCGTCCACGCTGTCACGTGCTACCTCAACCAAAAGAGCCGTGACTCATTGCATGCTAAAGCGTCGTGCTCTGATACTTTGGATCGCCGCCTGTCTCTCAGCCTGCGCGATGAAGCTAAAGAAGACCTCGGCAGAGTTCTGTAGTCTGGGACTCAGGCTTCCGAGTATTCCGTTTTGTTGCGTCATTACCTCGCCTACATCACCCTGAACCACCGGAGCATGCTGCTGAAGTCAGGCGGTCAAGAAGAAGCAGAGTACAGCGAGCATGTTTAGCTCCGATAGGAACCAGGCAGCCGCCAAGAACATGCAGCGTTCCATCCGACCATCCGACCTCTGCAACCAGAGCCCTAACGCAGCTCCACGGAGCGCCAAGCTGTCGACAGCACCCTCGAGGCCCGGACTTTCTTGTCTTGAGCTCCCAACGGTACGGTGACGAAGGAGAGACGGGGCTCAGCACCCCTCATCTTGTGGACCAATGCAAACCCAGCGAAATCCAAACAAAGCAACGGTGCCGAAAATCGCCGACATTCCGTCTCTGTGCAGCACAGCAGAAATGTGGCATAAGATTCTGGTATGATCTTTTTTCAAGCCGCGCGACCGACCATCCCTGCTTTCCACATTTGTGAACAGGGAACAGTGCCTCCAAGAAAGAACCCACTCTTCTAGGTCCGCTAGGGTATGCTAGGTGTGGATTGAAGCCAGAAGCCAGTGACATTTGCCTGGGTGGGTTCCGGAACACTCGCCATTCATTGGCCCAATGTGGGCAGATAGCGCTCAATGAGGATCGGCCCTAGACTTTGCTCAATCAATATGGCCCGGCACCTCTTAACGATATCTTCAAGCCTAGACTATGCAAGAGCGATGATGCCAGACCATCAGGAGGTGGAGTCCAGAGGAAAACTGCTTCCACATGTGCGTCTTCTTTGCAGACTGCCTCTGGACGAGGCTTGAGCATCTCTTGGTCGTCTGCCAAGTGTGACGCCTTAGGCGTCACCTACTCTGAGCCGCTAATTCAGCAACACGCAGGCCGTGGCTTTTTAAGTCCTGGCCAGGCTGTTCCAACCACCACATGGGTCTCTTCTCCCTCCACTTCGCTTGCCACGAAAAAGAACACCCTGCCTGGAGTGAAAGTTTCCTCCATTTGATCCTGGAGGTCGCGTACGGTTTCCTCGACAGCTCCAGGTATCCCTCCTGCGGCGAAGTGACCACCGTGGGACTTTGCCATCCACGATCCGAGAGAGAGCAGAGACCTTCCAACAAAGATCCAACTTCAGCTTGCACAGGTCTCCTGCAGGAATTCGACTGCCTCGCGTGTCCCTTGCAGAACTCTGATGCAGCAGAGCAATGCACACAGACAACACCTCGGCTTGGGAGTACGCACCCGGAATGAATGCGGTGCGACAAGAGCGTTTCTTCAGAGCGTCTGCATGCCAAAAGGATATTAGGAGCAATGCTGAGGCATGACAGTTTTGCGTGCGCAGGGTTGCGCTATGACACCAAGCCCTGGGCGATAATGGCAGCTATCCTTGCGAGGAAGCCAGCATGGGGCAACTCATGCCAGGGTCTGACAAAGAGTAATCTGAGGAGCTCACATGCAAGCAGTAAACATCATGCCTTCTTTGGTAGGAACTTGATGACCTGCAAGCACAACTCCTGCCATCTACGTAACCTTGACGGCCCATGAAAACTTGCCAATTGCAATCCTTTGCCACTTCCTACACTACTCTGTAACATCATGTGCTCGGCTTGGCTCCCTGACCTGTGACTTCTTCGACGACTCTGCACAAAGAGATACCTCGAGCTTGCATCGCCACATTAAGAGAAACAGGTCCATGAAAACGGTAGACTACCTACATGCCCATCGCTAGGCTAGAAGTCCAAGTCACTCAGCAACGACAGCGGCCATGGTTGTCCTGGAATCAGGATTTGGGGACCGATGCTCACTCTGGAGCACTGTGCCGACAGAGAGCGGCCTGCATCTCTTCGGTCCCTACCCGCAGGCATCACCACTGCTGTGTGGTTAGTCTCGGCCTTGAACTCTGCATTTGCACACAGATTGAAAATACGAGCAGGTGGGTACCGGATAATCTGGCAAGTTTGATAAAGGTGTTCAATCCATGCCCAGTCCCTGGCCAGTGCTTGCGGCACGGCAGAGCTGCTATCTGCCAAGCAAAAAAATCTGACTGCAGCACAGTCCCCAAACTGTTGGAGCACGAACCCGAACCTGGCGAAGTTGAGCGTTTCCGGGCTCCTGATCTGGAGGCATTTCCTTGTCCAGCGACCTGAAAGACATGCAATACACCAGCAAGAAGCACCCGCGGCAAAACAAAACCCAGGGCCGCACCCTCTTGGTGCCACTCACCTCACAGCCACATGAAACTTCAGTCTCGCTTGCTGAAGTGCGGTCTGCCCCGGCTTCGACTGCCCAAACCTGCAAGAGGAAGAAGCTGTCATCAGCCGGCAGGGCTGAGTAAAGCGAAGAAGCCTCTGCAAAGGGGCAGCCGCTTCTTTGGTACAGTGACTGCCTTCGCAAATTCGGAGCACCTCCGTTTCCCAGGTCCATGTCACACGAACGCTGAGGAGGCCCAAGATCAGTCCGCTGGCCCCCTGAGGTCCAATCTTCTGCAAACATCCCTCAGCTCTCTGAGTATCATATGTTCAACAGGCATCAAAGCACTGAGGGCCTGACAAGCAAACAATGCATCTCAAGTGTTTTACGCGGTCATCAGGTATAGATCGTGTGGCCTGCGGCAGCCAAACCATTGAACCCGTCCTTCCTCGCCCGTCTTGCACTAAACTCAGTTACGGGCTGCAGTTCTTCTCGCCACAGTTTCATTAAACCATGAGGTGGCTGCGGCACAAAAGCTCACGTGGCGAAATGCCTAGATTGACATGTCCTTGGTCCGTGCCGGCCACTCGAAGACGTGCCCTCTGACTTTTAGAAGCTCTTCTGGCACGAATCTGGCTGCTATTCTTGCCGCAGATGTTTCTACGGAGTAGGCTGTCGCATCAGGAGATGTGAGACCCGACGGCCGGTTTCCTGCATGTTACATCCAAAACTGGCAGAAACTGGAAGCTTATCCTCCAACGGTCGTCCTGAATTGGCTTTGGCCGAGATGTGATGCAGCAATGTGATCCAAGCTGCCACGGCCTCTTCCCATCGACAAGCTGCCCCACTTGAAGCTTCGTTTACAAAATGATGCAACATGCAGTGACCCTCTCTTCTTGTTAAGTCACGGACGACAATGGCGATAATCCTGAGCTTGCGCGGGAATCATGTGTTGATCACAAGCCACGCAGATGCCCGCGCAGATCAATATAAGGACGTCGCACACTGGCTGTAAACACGATACGCTTGCCGACCGACACCTGACCTGCAATGCAGCATGTCCGCCAAAGTGCACGGATTTTCATGTTACATCTACATAGTCAACCACGAAGCCTGCCGTGCGCCTGAATTCTTGCGACGTGCCTCCGCCAAACGACGACAACTGCAGACATCAATGAAACTGCAAACGACCCAACAAAAGGCCTTGCAAAAGGCTTTCCGCGTGGGCCAACGAGGCCTTAGCAAATTACCAGCTGCCTCTCCAACCAACTCAGCATGATCGGCAATTAGCTCCTGGCAAGCTGCGCTGGCGAAACGAAGCTGCAATCTGAAGTCAAGATTGCAACACAATTCGCTCCACACACACACACACACACACAAACAGGTCGCATGAAGATATGAGCGCTTCGCTCCGACAACGGCCGGCTGCAACGGTTTGGTGCCCCTTAAAACTGGAAAATCCGACCCGGGAAAGGACATCTGCCATCTGCCATCTGTCGCTGTCAAGATCGGGGCGAGAAGGCTGTTCCTCGTTTGGACCTGCCGCATGAGGATCGGAACCTATCTCTGTGAATCGCACTGCAGGAAGATATACACGAACTTGCCTGCATCAAACAATGATTTGCATCTTCTGCATCCTCCGATGATGTGAACTCACCAAAGCTGCATGCAAACATGACCTCAAATGCCGGATCCACTGCCAATGCATGAAAATGAGCACAATCGCGACAGTGCAGCAACAGCCGAGGCCGCCACAATGGCCATGGTCGACAATGACATTGTCAAACTCACGGCGTGTGAAAGCAACAGCAGGATCAGTTGCCCTCCTCCTCCGCCTGATTCGGCTACTGCTGCTGCTGCCGCTGCCGTTTGGTCTACTGCTACTGCTACCGCTACTAGTGGTACCACTGCTACTACAAACTACGACCACGACTTCTAGATTCTAGATTTACTATTAAAACTACTCATGCTGGGTTGTTTCGTCATTGTCACGTGCCTTTTTGGCTTCACAACCAAGACAGGGCGCTGACATCTCATCCTACAACGAAATGCTGCCATGATCTATTTGGTTCTTTTTCCTGTCTATTGTCAGTGCACACAACACAAACCCACATCAACGAAATTTTTACTCGTTGACAACGCATGCTCTGAACAATGTGTCGGATCATCCAAGATTTAGCGATCAATGCGCCAATCCGATGCGATCAAAAGCTGGTTCGCACGTCTCATCAACGTGACAAATTCAAATCGATATGACATGAACTGATGCAATCACGTGCACTCGACTCGATTCGTCTTACACGAGCCGTTTGGCGAACTCGAACTGAAAAGCTACACGGCTCACTGCCGTGAAACGACACGCGACATCTTGCGTCGACCAAAATCACACTCCAAGACGCCCCAACGATTGTGTCCCAAACACTGATCTGTTGCCGAATGAAATGTGTCCGTGATGATGGAGAAATTGATCTATTCAAATCAATGTCTGAACACCACACCCCAACCAAAGCGTTCAAAAAACATAACTTTCATTCACACCGGCGGTTTTCCCGACATGTTTGATTTTGTGTTTCTCCACCACGCAAAACAGAAGGATTGATGAACAAACGGTGGAGAAGCGCATCCGCAATGACCCATAACATGCACACACCCGCAAGAGTCCATGGACCCGGCCAACCCACTACCAGCAGCTCTTTACTGGTAGTTTCAGCAACATTATATGCTCCGACTTGCAGTGACGCCGAATGCAGAGCAGCGCGCAAAGCAGCTCCACTGGCAAGAGCCAACTGGAGCAGCTCTTCTACCGGAAGAAGGTAACTTCGCTCAGATCCAGAAAAAGCAGCTGAGTGCTTTTGCATAAGGGTTTATTTCTTCGCAGTTGAAGACTCCTCGAAACGTGCGCTTACGAAAGCTTCGTTGGGAAATAATGTTTTGCTGTTTCTCTTAGAATCATGTGAGAACTGAGTGCGGCAGCCGCCATCGACGAGGACACTCAAAGAAAAAGAGCCAAGGTTCCCCTGGATTTTTTATTATTCATCGTAAGGAACCGCTTGGCCAACGTGACCAACAAGAGGTTCATTCAAAAAGAATCCATATCAATTAGGTCACAAGGAGATATGTTCATCCTGCAAATATCGAGTAGCATATAAAAGCACAATCTCAATATATAAAAATTGCACGACGGAAGCGCGCCCTCTCTTTCTATTCGCAAATGGGGAAAGGTCCAGTGGCTGCAAGTCACCCCACTCGGCCAACACTGGACAACACATCCCACTGCAAGGACGCAGCTTCCACGATGATTGAAGGATCAATGCCATCAAAACAGAGCCGACTTGGTGCATCGGCAGGGTTGCTCAATGACGGCACTCGAGAATACCAGCACCTGAGTTGCAGCGATTCGTCGAGTAATCGCACACTCTCGGTCACCAATTCTGCGACTGGCGTAGATGCACAAGCACGGATCAACGCTGCTTTCGCTGCTTCGTTGTCCACGTACACAACAAGTTGGCCACACTTGAAGACCTTCTGCCAAACCCTAAAAAGCTAACAGAACCGGCATAAGCTCTAGCTCATAAATAGGGTTGCGAGAGTACTCAAGTGCACGATGCATGAAGGCATCGGGAGCGCGAGAACCGAAGGCACCTCGAGCAACGCCTGACTGGTCGTAGAAGATTGCTCCGACACTGCCTTTTCCATTCTCAAAAGCTCCATCCGTAAAGAGATACCAAGTCTTGCTGAACTTTGGGCTAATCTCAAGAGGCCGAGCCGACAACAGGCGGCTGCGAAGGACACCCAGAGATGTCTTGGCATCTCCTGTCAAACCTTGCTTCAAGAGACCGGCCCGGGCCTGGCGATCCAGATTCCTGACCGCCTGGGTCGGCCCTCTCCCAAAAGCATGGCCTTCAAAGAAATTCATGCGGCCTCGTAGCCTTTCCGCTTCCTTCGCGCTGAGTCTGTTTTCTTCAAGGATTCCATCCAACGAACGGGTTAGCTCAGCAATGCGTTTGTCAGTGTGGCCAATTTTAACCAAACGGTTTTCGAACTGGCTAAAATCAACCACTAAACCTAGCATCCGGAACACCCCAGAAAACTCAGGCGCCTTCTTCCCTTCCTTGGCGTAGTCAAAGCCTAAGAGGTTGAACAGGGATTGCACAGCGAAGGCGAAGGCAGTATTCTGCTTCAAGCTCTCCTTCGAGACTACGCTGTAGTCGTCAAAAGAAAGCCGTCCAGATTACCCTAAGTGCACACACCCCCAACATCCAAACCGACATACTTATTCTCAAGAAAGCGGCAACGGAGCCTATTGCACCGAACGGTAGTGCGTTCAGGCCCACCGACGACGGCTCGGCTTGGCCTGGACGGTTGACGAACATTCTCAAGATGTCGCGGTCTGCACATGACACAGGGAATTGTTTGTACGCAGACTTGAGATCATACGTTCGGCCGCATAGTGGAGCGCCTCCCTCCGCCGAGATGTCAATTGCGTAAGACAGCATGGCATCCATCCTATCAATCGCATGGACAACGAACTTTTCAGCCATCCCCACGGACCGCAACAACTACAGTCATCAATCACACGCGTTTTGTCCCCTTGCACTATGCCAAACCTACGGGCGTAAACTTTAAAGTCACCCTCAAACTTAGGCGCTTCCCAAATCCAACCACTCTGAAGTTCGTCCAACGTAGCCTGCCAAGTGGCATGCTCGAGCAAAGGCTCTTGTCGCACCGCCATTTTTTCAAGCACGGCTTTGTTCAGACTACCTGACAGAAGTTTCAAAGTTTCAAGGGAAAACTCGGGTCGCTTAATCTGAGTGGGGAAAGCATGGCTTGCAGGTAGCCAAGTGGTTTAAAAAAAACCTTTTGCATAACCTCGATGAGGCTGGTATCCGGAAGACCATACGTAAGAATCAATTCCTGCCACAAGAGAAGCCTTTTGCCTTTCAAGGTCTGACGGATGTGAGGAGGAAGCGCCGCATGAAGTGCATCCTCACGGCCTTGAAGTTCCTTCGCTCGCGCAGACCAGCGAGCTATGAATTTTAAACAGTGCTAAGCCAAAGAAAATTCATCACCTAAGAAGCTTCTCTTTGACCACGGATTTCAAAGCCAGTTCGAGACTATCAACGAAGTCTCTTGGGTGTCCGGCACGCACGGCTCTTTGCACAAACTTATCCGGAGCTAGGGGGACGCCAAACCTAAAAACCTCACCCTAGTTCCAGGTTGTGGGTCTGAGACCCTACAGTGCAATCCGACAGCAGCTACTTTTCTCGGCCGTACATCGCCCCAAGAGGACAAATGCCGAGAAACGAAATGCCTTTTTTGGCGGCGCCACAGCAGCTGGTTCCGAATTCTGAACATCGACAACATGAACGTAGTAACCAAACTCGGGCAGCACACTTGGCGACAGCGTAGGCTGTAGGCCAAGGGGAATACGCGCAGCAGTCGGCGTGTGAGCCTGCTGCTCAGCTTCAGAGGCGCCCGCCTTGACAACAGAATCCCCGCAGCAAGCCAGCTACGCGCTGGCAAGAGAGATTGGGATTCGCGCTGATGGCATGATTAAAACGCCCGTCTTTGGAGACAGGCGTCCGGACGTATGCACATGGTGCTTACCTGGGCATTGAAGTTGCAAAGCATCAAGAAAGCACAAAGAAGTCCTGAGTTTGCACGGTTTAGGTCGATTCCCGCCATGGGCACTCATGTGGAAGGGAATCCAACATGACTGAGGGGCTCAGTCTGAAGTGCACGAAAGAAGGAGGTCTACCAAAAGAGCGAATTTTGAGGGTTCTCAACACCCCAGCGAATGCACGCAGCATAAGGTAGACCGACTCAAAAACCAGTTGGCCGTTTCAAGTTTGCGTTTGTCTGCCCCACAAAGCCCGAGCACACGGGCCCAAACCATTGCCACTCGCGAAGTCTCATGTTTGAGCGAGTATGGCGGTGAGCCCGAGTCCATGCAAAAACCTCCATCGGTGCAAGTGCAGAATGTGCTTGTAATTAAACTATATTGCGGCTCTGCCGCTATCAGCCATGCGTGTGGAAAGACCGGCTTCCAAAATTTAGCGCTGGATCGCAAACCTGCTTTTTCATCTGTCAGAGTCCTGGCTTTTGACCTTTCGTGTGCAGACAGCTGATCGGCACAATGATGTTCCAGCTCTGGAGTTCGTTGTTCGCATCAACATGCAGACTACTCTGGCATTGATCCAAGAAAATGAATGAAGTAAAAAGGCGCTCCCTTCATGTGGCACGCAGAGCATCGAACAACCTCGAGATCGATCAAATCATTTCGATGCTTTTTTTTTTTTGGCGTGGACGGGCTGTCGACTACGGCTGTAGCACTCGGTCCCTACAAACAAGACAAACCAACAAACAAACTAAGACAGCGGTGAAACTGGGCGGCACGATAAAAAAATAGGCAAAGAGCTGGCTGCGGCGCACAGACTTTGTCGGTGTCAGCGGCCTTCGAAGTCTGACCAACGTCTCGAAACGAGGCCTGAGGCAACGCTGAACTGGAAGTGAAACATCTTGAAAGGAGAGAATGTCGCGCAGATGTTCCAAGTGTTCACTTACTGCATGCTTGGTGGGAAGCGCGCCCCGCTTTGTGCCGCATTTCCGCGCAAGCAAGATAAGAGTGGCAGGATCATCCGTGGGCGCCACTCTGCGGTCAGCTCCATAAGCGTGGGACGATGTTGGCTGGGGTGGGATGCACATCCAGACCTTTTATCAACTTATTCAAATCATTGACTTGGTGAATACAACGGCAGTCTGTACTGTCATCCACAAAGGTGCTTTTCACCGCTCGGCCTCCCCTGTATGTCCTGCGAAGCCATCTCCATCGCTGAACCGAAGGCCAGGTCTACTCTTGCTCCAGAAACAAGCTTATGAGTCTCCAACAGGGCTCGTGAGCCACACAGAAAGAGGTTGTCCGTTCTCAACATCCAACGTAACTTCGTATGGATCCGTCACAAGGCAGCGCAAAAGGCAGCGAACTGGATGGAAAGCGTGGATGGCGCTTACAGACCCAAGGGACAGTGCACGCAGGTCGATTGAGGTCAGGTCGCGCTGCCGCAAAGATTAGAACCACACAGGTCAAGAGACAGGTCTTGCTGTGTTGCACGCCACAAAGCTTCCAACATCATCGTGACAGAGGCGAAATACTATCGCTATCCAGATTCATGGAAATGAGGTTTTGCCGAGAGCTTTGCGTTTTTTAGGGGTTGGATACCTGTTCCATCCTTTAGCTCTTCTAAAAATTTAGGCCCTGTACAGGGTTAGTTAAGATTTAGGGCAGGTTTCTAACCAAAAACCTGTAGAGGGGGAGTCAAAGCCAAAAGTCCGAGATTCGAGCTGGAAGACCAACACTCGACAGGCGAACTTCGGGAAGGGAGGCTTGTTTGTGCAGTTGTGGGCTTGGTTGTGCCTGTTTTGCTAAGGTTTTCTGTACTTGGGTGACGAAACTCATGCAGTCAACGCTCGGCGTGGTGGCTTGCCGGTAAAACCACCTTTGTCACCTGCGCCATCTGTGTTTGAGCGCACACGCACTGTGAACATGCTTTCCACGTCTTGCCTTACAGCCAGCTGTAAAAAAGGTAGGTCTTCCAACATCGTCGTGACGGGGGCGAAATACTATCGCTACCCAGATTGTTGTAGAGACTGTCGACCATAAAGAAGATGTATAAAGATTGATGGAAATAAGGTTTTGCCGAGAGCTTTTGAGAGCTTCTGGGGGGGCTTGCTTGTGCGGTTGCGGGGTTGGTTGTGCCCGCTCTTGAACGGTTCTTTGTGCTTGGGTGACGAGACTCACGCAGTCAACGCTCGGCGTGGTGGCCTGCCTGTAAAGCCACCTTTGTCACCTGCTCAGTTGCTTGTGCAGCATGATCGGGCGCCTTGTGCCTTAGCAGTTTCTCCAAAGGTTCGAAGGCCAAACCTTTCACTCGACCCAGAAGTAGGTCAGGAGGGCTTGTTCATGCACGCAGGTAGGTTGGAGGTCATTAAAGACGCTCGGCATGGGCGTCTTTGAAACTTTCCAGCATCTGCTTGAAGCACGGCCCCTTCATACGCAAGGTCAGCCGGTAACAATCAGTGCTGTGGAGGCTCAGCAAGTAGTCTTGCAGTTGACAACACTGGAAACGGTCAACGTTGCTCCGCTTCCAATAAGGTCGCGCTGCCGCAAAGGTTAGGGCCACACAGGTCAAAAGGTGCTGCACGCCGCAAAGCTTCCAACATCATCGTGACGGGGGCGAAATACTATCGCTACCCAGATTGATGGAAATAAGGTTTTGCCGAGAGCTTTGCGCTTTTTAGGGGTTGGGCACCCGTCCCACCCTTTGGCTGAGCCCTTCTAAAAATTCAGGCCGCTGCACAGGGTTAGTTAAGATTTAGGGCAGGTTCCTAACCCGATAAGCTGAAGCGGTGGTGCTTGGTATAGCCAATGGGTAGGGGATCCCAACACCTGCAGAGGTATCATAGCCAAGGCCTCAAAAATCTACGGCTTGTTTCGCAGGAGGCGCCTAAGTAGGCGTATCGGTGGCTCGGGGACTCCCGCCTCCATGCTTGCCTTTTGACGTCTGCATACGCCGCAAAGCTTCCAACATCATCGTGACGGGGGCGAAATACTATCGCTACCCAGCTTAATGGAAATAAGGTTTTGCCGAGAGTTTTTGCGCTTTTTAGGGGTTGGGTACCCGTCCCACCCTTTGGCTGAGCCCTTCTAAAAATTTAGGGCGCTGCGCAGGGTTAGTTAAGATGTAGGGCAGGTTTTTCGGCTTCTCATGTTCAAACGGCTGTCCTTGGCAGTGTAGCCCTAGGGGGGGTCCCAAAACCTGCAGAAGAGGTATCATAGCCAAGGCCTCAAAAATCTTCGGCTTATTTCGCAGGAGGCGCCTAAGAGGCGTATCGGTGGCTCTGGGACGCCCGCCTCCATGCTTGCCTTTTGACGTCTGCTTCGGGCGGTGCCTTTGCCCAACGGGGCAGGGTCGCAGTTAGCAAGCGCGAGTACGCTGCTTCTCTTTCGGCCTTGGGTTTGGCCTCTGCTTTGTCGTTGCGCGGTTGTCGCCGCCCGAATTGGTCGTGACATTT